CGTTACAGTCACAAACCTCTCCCTCTTATCCTCGCTCCACCCAACCTGTGGCCAACGACTAACAGTTTTCCATTTCTCTAATTTTCTACTTTAAGAACACGACATAAGGATGCACAGACTATTGAGATGAGCTTTTCCCATGCAGCATAATCCCCTGAAGTTCTTGTTCTCTGTAGTTTATGCTTTTTTATCTCTTTAGTGTCATGACATCCTGATAGTAGGATGAGTAAGACTGCACGGTATGGATGTATCTGCTCGTTGGACCCCTGACCTGTGGACTAGGTTGTGTGTAGGTTTTAGCTATTGGAATCTGCTCTGCCTCTGGGATACATGCCCCCCAGTGCAGTTGCTGGACCATATGGCAATTGCGTGTTTAGTTTTCTAAGAAACTGCTAAACTGTTTCCCAGAGTGTTGTGCCCCCTTACATTCCTACAGGTAGGGATGAATGACAGCTCCTCTGCGTATTTGCCAAATGTTGTAGTTCTGATAGATGTGTAGGAATATCTAATTGTGGTGGATTTCCTAATGACAAATGTTGAACATCTTTTTACATACTTGTCATCTCTATTTCCTTTTTGAAGTATTTTTTAACCAATTTTTTAATTTAAAAAATGGGTTCTGAGAAAGATTTTAGTTATTAATCCTTTGTCAATTATATAGTTTGCAAATATTTTGTCCCAATCGATGGCTTTTTTTTTTTTCATCCTTTAACAGGGTCATATGCAGAGCCAAGTTTTTTAATTTTGATAAGAACTATTTTTCTAGCCCTAGGTCTTAAAAAATTCCTTTTTTTCCTCAAAGTTTTGATTTTTACATTTTAATCCATACTCTATTCTTAACATTCTTATAAGGTTTTTCTTTAATGTTTCTCTTTATTCATTTGGAGGGCATTACTCTTGTTTCTTTGGTCCCCAACTCTCCCTTGTTAGCTTATTGTAGCTGCTGTGTCTGTAGCCCAAGTACAGTGAAGTCCTATGGATTTGAAAAATGAGAAAAGGTTCAGTGAAACAATGTTCTTCAGTAATTGGTAAAGGTGAGTTGTCCTGCAAAGATTTAAAACTCTTAAGTGATGGCAGGGATCATTCATCCTGGAGCTTAGCTTGCATCTAAGTTTCCACTGAATTAAGCTGAAATAAATCTCAACTATTTTTACTATTTCTCTTCTGCAGTAACCAGCTTTCACCCTCACACATTGTCCACCCCTCCATGTTGGTTAGCCTTGCTCACCCTTAACACCTAGTCATTGACTTCAGGTATAGAATTTGATTAATAGAAAAACTAAAGCTTCAGCTCTTTACAGACATCAGGCTTAAGGAAATTAATTCACATTACTGCATAAGCCCTACAGTACTTTTTGGACCCTTTATCCTGTGTTTTTCCCCCCCAGCCTAGAATGTTCTTTTTCATGATTCAGCTTTCCAAGTTCTGTACAAGGGTTTCTTTCCTTCTTGCAGCTCTTCTTCTTCTGCTTTATTTCTGTAGTTGCTGTTTGCTGCTTCTGATGTTTCATAGCATGTTGAATATACTGCTCATTTGGTACTTAATTGACCTTATATTGAGTTCTATATAGGTGGTTTTTCTCTTCACATTATAAATTCCTTCAGGGTAAGAAGAAAAAAAAAAGTGCCTTTATTTTTATATGGGAACTTAAGTAACAGGTCTTCTAGTTTGATCCTGAAAATGAATATTCTATTAAAAGGGGAAAAAATATTAAATGGATCACCAAGTAGCTGTTACATAAGCTTTTGTTTCCAAATATTTTTTTCCTGGTATGTAGAACTGTCTAATGTTGAGACGTACAAGTTTATTCAGATACCATTAGTAATGGGGGGGGGGTTAGGACTTGATTAACTTTACTAATGGTTAACTTGCAGAAATATGAAACAAGAGTGGGAGATAAGGGAACTCAGCTCTCAGGAGGTCAAAAACAGAGGATTGCTATTGCTCGAGCCCTCATCAGACAACCTCAAATCCTACTATTGGATGAAGCTACTTCAGCTCTGGATACAGAGAGTGAAAAGGTGTGGCCTCTCCCTTCATGTTCCATTTAATCTGTACAATAGTTTTTTGGGCTGTCAACCATGAAAAAAAGTAAATGGAAATTTACTGGTTATTTTGAAAATGTTTTTTAGGGGCGCCTGGGTGGCTTAGTCGGTTAAGCGTCCGACTTTCGCTTAGGTCGTGATCTCGCGGTTTGTGGGTTCGGGCCCCGCGTCAGGCTCTGTGCTGACTGCCAGCTCAGAGCCTGGAGCCTGTTTCAGTCTGTGACTCCCTCTCTCTCTGACCCTCCCCTGCTCATGCTGTCTCTCTCTCTTAGAAATAAATAAAACATTAAAAAAAATTTTAAAAAATAGTTTTTTTATTCCAGTATTTTCCATATTTTGTAAAATGATCTTCATAAACTAAAAACAGTATTCAAAAAAAGCTGCATATATCACATTTTTAGAACAATTACGAAAAGTTATAAAATTGTGAACAATTAGAAAATTTAGATACTGGTGACTTAGTATGAGAATCCATTTTCATTATAATTAAAAAGGAAATAACTTTTTAATGCCATTTATGTAAAACATTCTCATCTCTGAATCTTTAAGGTAAAATGTTTTTCTGTAATGATTATGTTCAAGGTTTCTGTTCTGCTTGATCATTAGATTGTCCAAGAAGCCCTGGACAAAGCCAGAGAAGGCCGCACCTGCATCGTGATTGCTCACCGCCTGTCCACCATCCAGAACGCAGACCTGATAGTGGTGTTTCAGAACGGCAAGGTCAAGGAGCATGGCACACATCAACAGCTGCTGGCTCAGAAAGGCATCTACTTTTCCATGGTCAGTGTCCAGTCTGGGACACAGAACTTATGAACTATTATTTCTTAAAAGTTAAGTCAAATTATAACTTTTTCTGACTTAAACTAGAAATCATTTTTTACAAATAATCCCAAAATTCAGCTATATCTCATCCCATATCAGTTTAAAACATCCCATTTGCTGTTGAATTTGAAATTCAGGAATTACAAGTAACACCTGTCTTGATCAGGTATAAAAATGGCAGCCTATCTGTTGAGTTACCAGACACATGCAGAGAAAAACAAGTTCAGATACAATAAAGCTATAAAACTAACAAAGCACAGACAGAGGGAAACTTCCTACTGTCCTCAATAGCTGGGTAGATTACAGGATAGTTTGGAACAATTTTCACAAGAAAGAAGAAAAATACATTGTTCCATTCAACTGTCTACCTTGGAGAGCTTCCAAATAATTCTTTTGGGACCTGAGGTTAGTTGTTTTTTTTCAAAGAATGGATTCCTAACTTTATCATCAAAGTCCAAGAGAAAAAGAGATTACTCTTAGAGAAGCTAACTTTACAGGCACACATCCATTCCTGTAAAATAAAAAAAAAAAAAAATCAAATATAAATTAAAAAAATTTTTTAACTCCGTAAAAATTGCAATTATTTCAAGTGCCATTTCAAACACTGGAAATAACAATAAAATGCTAGGTTCTCCATTACTTTTTATCACTAATCCTAATATGTTTAGACAGAGAACAAAAACAAATCTGGGCAACCTTTATAGTCTGAGGCATTATCCATTCCTACCCCGTTCCAGGTTCTTTAGGTCAGTAAACTACACAAACTCACTTCCTCTATCTGTAACCATATCTTACCAAAGATTTTTTTCAAATGCAACCATGTGTGTAGTGGACTAAATTTCAGGTTAACCAAGAGAGGACTAGTGCTGGGGGCTCATTCCCATTACCCAAATGGTGACTCAAAAGCCTCTGGAAATTTTAACTCTACCATTCTGGATCGAGGCCGAAAAATCTCTTTGTAAAAAGCATTACAGGTAGTTGTTAACGTCAGGCATATTAGGGAAATATGTCAAAGTAGGACGGAAGAGGTTTCTCTGCAGGAGGTGAACAGTTTCTAAAATACCCAAGTCTTTAGACATTAAGAACAGCCAACCAAAGGATTCTAAAATCCTATGGCAACCTGTCTATAAAACTGTACCAGCATATAGAAAAGGAAGGGCCATAGTATAGAATAGGAAGAAGAAATATAAACTGTTAAGGATGTATCAAATGCTAAAGAAGCCAACTCAGTTTTTCACAAACGGGCCACCTGGGGGCTCAGTAGGGTGAGCTTTGGACTTAAGTTCAGGTCACTATCTTACATTCGTAGGTTTGAGCCCTGCGTCGGGCTCTGTGCTTACCACTCGGAGCTTGCTTTGGATTCTGTGTCTCCTTCTCTCTCTGCCCCTCCTGTGCTCACGCTGTCTCTCTCTCAAAAAAATAAAATGTTAATTTTTTTTAAAAAAAGAAACCGTAAACCAGCCTTAACAAATTCATTACATAGGAAAACTTAAAGGGTGTATGCGCCCACGACACTAAATATACAGTAATTTTGATGAGGTATACAGCAATAAAAACAATGCCAAGTTAAAATAAGTATGCCCACTTATTTACATTTTTTAAATGACTGCTGTTTCTCCTATCAGGAGATAACACTCCCTCCCCCTCCTTGAATCTAGACTGCCTTTGCAACTTGTTTTAACCAACAAAATGCAAAATAAGTGGCATCATGTGACTTCAGAGCCTATGCCTCAAGAGACCTTGCAAATTCTACCTTTCTCTCTGGGAACACTAGCACTGCCAAGTGCAGGAGTCAAGGCTAGCATACCGAACGATCAGAGACCATGTGGAGAGTGTCCCACATGCCAGGTTCCCAAGCAGTGGGTGAGGCCACCTTCAACCTTACAGCCTCCATCTCAGTCCAGCACCCTGGTGAATGCAGCCACATAAACGAACTACAGCAAGATCAGAAGAGCTACCCAATGGGGCACGACCAATTGACACCATGGTGAGAAATAATCAATTGATTTAAGACAGTAAGTTTTTGGTGGTGCTTTACACAGCAATACGTAACTTAGATGGGAAAGTATAAGGTCAAACACGAATTGGGTTAGTTATCCAAACACCAAACAGGAAGCTATAGGATTGACAGCTTTATTTTCTATTTTGAACAGCAGGAAAAAAAAAAATCTATAAAATCCTGAGAATCTCATTCAACATTCAGTCTTTTTAAAGTCACTAATTCTAATTTTAAATATGTGCTTTCATTTTATATTCACAAACTAGTTACAAGATAATGAATTTTGATAGGTTTTTTGTATATGTGCATCAGAGGGTATAAACCTCCCTCTGATGCTTCTATCCAACAGAAAGTCTACTTTTAGATGATCAGTCAATTGTAGTGGCCTTTCGCATCAAACTGAGTAGACTTGTATCCCTGTGCTGAATGTGGAAGGCAATGATTTCAGGGAAGTTAGCATTTAATCATGTATTTCATATCCTTTGGCAACTAGAAAATGTTAAAGTGCTTGAAAGACAGACTCTACAACAATGGTCAGAGGATTTATAACCTCTACAGGTACCAAAAAAAATATCTGTAAGTTAAAGTAACACTTGCATTATTAAAAATTATAGATTTGCATTGTTGAGGCTCATCATCTTTTGCATAATTCTGTATTTCATTGTATCAATTTGCATTGCTACTGCATCAGAGGAAGCTTAAAAATTGTGAGAATAACTTTAAGAAGCATGATTCTACCTATTTCTACATTTAACAAGTTTCCTTTAAGTCAATATTCCTTCCTATCTCTCATCACCAACCCACTCTCCACACCCAGTTTAATATTTTTGTAAATACTTAATCAGTGATTAGTCTCTAAAGGTAAGCAGTGTTCATCAGCTTCATCATATCTTGGAAAGAATGAAAAACCAGCTGAACCAGCTTTTCTGCATTGGTCTCTGGGCAAGATCTCCAGGCTGTACTAGCCACATTAAACCTGTGAAGTGCAAATAAAAAATGATTAGTACTCTACAAAAATCACAACACAAAGAGGCTCCAAATGGTGATGAATACAGGCATGACCTCTACTCCATCTGGTAAAATGCCTATTTTTATCCTTAGGAGAAAATTCCAACTTCTTATCATATTACAAGGCCCTGTATTAACTGACCACCCAAAACCACACCAGTGTTTCCAGAAGTAATGTTTTAAAGTTCTCTAGGTGATTCTCATGTGCACCCAGAGTTGAGAACACTTCCCTCCAAGATGTAGCTCCTATCTACCTGTCTTCAACTTCTTCTTTTACCCCCACCCAAAGCAACTTAATTGCTAATTTACAGTCATACTGCCTCTTTCTGTTCCTTAAAAATATCAGGCTCTTTCCTACCCCAGGACCATATGTTTACCAGTGAAGTCACTGTGAAACCATTAAGTGTATTCAACTTATTTACAAGGCATTATTACAGAGCTGGGGATACAACAGACAAATCAAAACCCCTGTTTTTCTGGGCTTATATTCTAGGAGGGGAAGAAAGAACATATAAATTAACATGTATAGCCACTGGATGGTTCTGAGTGTTCTAAAGAAAATGCAGCAGGTGGGGCACCTAGGTGGCTCAGTCGGTTAAGTGTCCGACTTTAGCTCAGGTCATAATCTCACGGTTCATGGGTTCGAGCCCCGTGTCGGGTTCTGTGCTGACAGCTAGCTCAGAGCTTGGAGCCTGTTTCAGATTCTGTATCTCCCTCTCTCTCTGACCCTCCCCTGCTCACACTGCCTCTCTCTCTCAAAAATAAATAAATTAAAAAAAAAAAATGCAGCAGGTGTGTGTGAGGAAGGGGGAAGGGCTATTTTACATGATCAGAGAAGGCCTCCCAGATGAGAGCAAATTTTAAGCAAATACCTGTATGGACTAAAGAGTGATCCCTGCGTATATCTGAAGGAAGAGTATGAAGCAGAGGAAATCACAACCGCAAATGCCATGAGGAGGGAGCTTGCTTGCTGTACTCAACGTACAAGGAAGGGAGAGTAGCTATAGAAGAAAGGTCAGACTGGTAACTGAGAACTTGAGCATACAGGATCTCACAGGACGACTTTGAGTTTTACGGGGAGTGAGACAAGCAAGCTCTTGGTGAATTTTGAGTGAAAGAATGGTATGACTTGAGTCACACTGTTTATAAAAGGGCATCAGCGCTGTTGTGTAGACAGTGGTCTATAGAAAGGAAAGGGTGGAGCCAGAAGGCCGCGTGAGAACCTGCTGCAATAACCTAAGTGGGAGAAGATGGTGGTTCAGCCTGGGTGGCGGCACTGGAGACAGGACGCCGTGATCAGAGTCTGGAGAGCTGCTTTCTTGGCAATTCATAGTATTAATTCCTTCTCAACCTTAACGCCTCAGCTTCTCGATCACTATGACCACCTTGAGTAAAGCAGTGCTCTCTCTCCCCCTCCCCACCGGCATGTCTCTATCACCACATCAGCTTGCTTTGTGCTTCACAGCATTCATCACTACTTCTTGCTTATTTGCTTTTGTTTCTTTTTCCCAAATAGAAAATAAAATCTCTAAGAGTGACAATCTTGTCTGTCTTGTGTCCTCAGCACCTAAAACACTACAAGTTTTCACTAAATACTTCCTGAATGGATGTTCTGCCCCAGGACCAGGACTTCCAAAGTCACAGACCTGAGGTGTATCTGGCTTAAACTCTTCTCACTGCACACAATATAAGATCCATACTTGTAAAGAAATGTTAAAATGCTTACTTACTCTCTATATCCGATGAGGATTTTAGAACTTAGAGCCTTTATATGAAAACATATTAAGATCTATGTTTAACCTTTGTAACTCCACCTTTAATTTGTACATTAATGTACATAAACAACACTATGGGAATAGATAATCTAAGGACTTAGATGCTAACAAATACAAGTTCCAGTGGTATAAGAGACTATGCAAAGATCACACTTGATACAGAGGCAGATGATAAAATTCTGAAAAACAACACTGACTGAAAACTCTTTAAAAAAAAGTTAGTGTGTGAAAACAAACTGAAATATATCATTACATATTATTAGCTAATTTTTCACATTCCATCCAAAGCCCCCAAGCCTACCATCTTATTCACATAGTGCGAAATGTGGCCAAATGATTGTTTACAAATCCCTTCAAGCTCTCAGAGATCTCTGAAATGGCCAGACTATACGGATGAGGACCTTCTAAGCCATTCTACCAATTTCACATTACCTTATTCTCCACCTACTAGGTTTTAGTAATTTTTTTTCCTCACTCTTTCCACAAACATAAGTCAAGCTTCATCTGAAATTGCATCTGAATTGGTAAAACATTTTTTTTTTATATAAATTAATTTACCTAGTCTCTTACCTTGGTCACGTTAGTACTATTATGACACATGAACCACCACATATTTATAGGCAATTGCCTTTTATCTGTTTTATTACCATAAAACACCTTGCCTAGAATATGTTAACATGTGTACTGAGATTTAAGGATGACGACAGTATGTCACTGAGTCAACCTTAACTGGTATTCTGCAGAAAACACCTAAGGGACTGATATGACTAGTGTCCCAAAAGCAGGTCAGAGAAACAAACACATATTAAATGCCCAAGTGATAAAAATAATTACCTACGTAGCAAGTGACAGAGGACAGCAGTAAGAATCACTGTGCAAGAAAGATATTCAAAAGACAGAAAGATAGCTTTCCTACCCTATAGCACAGTAAGAATGAGAAGAGCAGTCTCACCTGTCATCTCTGATATGGTAGAAAAATCCATAGCCATTGTGTACCATGGGAACCACCAGTCCCAGAATTCTCCAATACCCAACCAGACTTGTTGAGAGAACAAAGTTTCCACCTCCTCCACTGTATGGCATAAAGAGACGATATTTTACTAGGCTTATAGGAACTTACATGACTTCAGAAAAGCTTTTGAGGGGTGCCTGGGAGGCTCAGTCTGTTAGACGTCCGACTTTGGGTCAGGCTATGGTCTCATGGTTTGGGAGGTTGAGCCCTGAGTCGGGCTCTCTGCTGACACCTGAGAGCCAGGAGCCTACTTCAGATTCTGTGTCTACCCTTCTCTCTCTGCCCCTCACCTGCTCGCACTCTGTCTCTCAAAAATGAATACATGTAAATTAAAAGACAAGAAAAGCTTTTAACCTTCAGAAAAAAGGAACTGATTAAGTTATTAAACACTACATTATATTACCTTTTGGAGAAAAGTGGGTCTGTAAAGAGTTCTGGAACAGGAAGACCTTCCTCTTTTGCTATGAGTAAAAGACCTAAAAGATGACGGTCAAATCCTGCAATGAAACCGCAAGTATTAAGCTAGAAAAAATTTTTCAACATGAGAGAATTTTTTTAAGTCTGAGTAATTCCAATATAAATACCTTTTCCAGCTGAACAATCTTTCATCATTTTATCATGTTTTGCAAAAGCTTGTAACATCTTCCGCTGTCGCTCAAGAAGCTGTGTGAAAAATCAAGACATATTTCCATAAGCTGTACAGAAACAACAACAACAACAAAAACCTGAGCTCAATCTAGTTAGGATTTGGGTAATTTGAGAGAGAAAAGACTTCTAAAAAGACGTATAAACACATGCTTACATAGAATGTCTTTTCTTTCCCCTATGTCCTGCATCCTATTTCTTTCCCAGAAGAGGAAAAACAATAGGAATTTGTGGGCAGCACTGACATGATACTAACAAGTGTAAAGACAGAAGCAAGTAGGATTTCAAAACTAACACACAGTTGTTCAAAATGACAATGAAGCAGTTCTGGAACGCTAAGATAAAGTAACATATGCATACCTAGGTCTATCAAAACTAAAGAAACAAACACAATACCAAAATACCAGTGGAAAGAAACTACTCTGTTGTTTAAATGCTTCAAAAAAAAAAGTATAGGGGTGCCTTAACTTGGTTGGTAGGAGATGGGACTCTTGAACTCGGGGCTGTGAGTTCAAGCCCCACATTGGTACAAAGATTATTTTTTTTAAAGTTTTATTTATTTCTGAGAGAGAGAGAGAGAGACAGTGTGAGCAGGGGAGGGTCAGAGAGAGAGCGAGACAAAGAATCTGAAACAGGCTCCAGGCTCTGAGCTAGCTGTCAGCACAGAGCCCGATGCAGGGCTCGAACCCATGAACTGTGTGATCATGACCTGAGCCGAAGTCGGACACTCAACCGACTGAGCCACCCAGGCGCCCCCAAAGATTACTTTAAAAAATAAAAAAAAAAAGCAAAACATATAAAACAAAACAAAACCATTCTGGTTCTAATACATGAAAACAAGAATCTGTGATTTCAAAAATGTTCAACCACATCAAGAATAGCTTCCTTTTAAGGCACTTTGGGAAAGTCTTCACTTTATAGGTGTTATCCCAAAGACAGATCAATAATAGTAAAAGTCTCATGGTATTGAAGATACTTTGCCAACCAATCAAAACCACAATGAGATTCTACCTCACACTACTCAGAATGGCTAAAATCAACAACTCAGGAAACAGATGTTGGAGAGGATGCAGAGAAAGGGGAATCCTCTTACACTTTTGGTGGGAATGCAAACTTGTGCAGCCACTCTGGAAAACAGGGTGGAGGTTCCTCTAAAAGTTAAAAATAAAACTACCCCAACAACCCAGCAATTGCACTACTAGATATTTATCCAAAGGATACAAAACTACTGATTCAAAGGGGCACATGCACCCCAAAGTTTACAGAAGCACTCCCAACAATAGTCAAAGTATGGAAAGAGCTCACAAGTCCACTGACTGATGAATGGATAAATACATACACGCGCGCGCGCACACACACACACACACACACACACACACACACAGGAATATTATTCAGCCTTCAAAAAGAACAAACTCTCCATTTGTAACAACATGGATGAAACTAGAATGTATTACGCTAAAAAAAAAAATAAGTCAGAGAAAGACATACCATATGATTTCACTCATATATATGGAATTTAAGAAATAAAACAGCAAAACAGCGGAAAAGAAGGAAAAATAAGATAAAATCAGAAATGGAGGCAAACTGTAACAGACTCTTAACTACAGAGAACTGAGGGTTGTAGGAGAGCAGATGGGGGGGAGATGTGCAAAATGGAGGATGGGCATTATGGAGGGCATGTTGTGATGAGCACTGTATGTAAGTGATGAATCACTAAATTCTACTCCTGAAACCAATACTACACTATACATTAACTAATTTGAATTTAAATAAAATCTTGAAAGAGGAAGGAAGGAAGGGAAGTAATTTTGCCTAGAAAGTGACACAAATGGGCTTCTTCTTAGGTCTTTCCTGTTTCATATTCTTCCAAGTATACACTTCATTGGCAAATGAATGAATGCTTCAAAAACCTCAGAAAAAATATCTTGAAGTATTTTACTTACTCAGGAGAACTGAAGCCAAGGGGTTAGTCATTCAAGGGCTAAGGGTCCTTTAAATAAATACTATGAATTTTTTTCTTTTCAAATACTCACACTAGTAGACGGATCCTGCATGGACTGGCACCACCTGAGTGCTTCTATTGTACATGATCGCACAGTCTCTGTGCGGCCATGATAAAAGTATCTGGTCATAGCAGTTTCATAGCAGCTGCCAGGGCTACAAGGAAAAATGAAAATAACAGAACGTGTCATAAGAAAGAAGATGCTCAAATATTATCACAAAGAAAGCTTACCTAATAAAGCTGGCTTTGGTTAGAGACTAAGTTCTACAAGACAGACCTTAGTTGAGACTTTCAATAACAAAGAGACTACTTTCAGTATCAAAGAGCAAAAAAATACTCTAATCAACAGGGCTTGGTATAATATGGTCTGTTTCCAAGGTTTGGCTGCTCCGAGATTATGTACATTGGCGTGTCTGTGGTAGGTGGCCTATAAGATATACCCCCAGTGATTCCTGCCTCCTGTTATTTATGCTCTGGTGTAGCTCCTCAATTTGAGTGTGAGATGGACCTCATGATTTGCTCCTACTAAAAAGAAGAGGACAAAAGTGGTAAGATGTCATTTCTGAAATAAGGTTACAAAGAGATATCAATACTCTCACTTCCTCAATATGACGAACACCAGTTGCCATGCTGGAAGGTGCCCTACAGTGAGGCCCAGGTGGTGAGAAACTGAGGGAGGCCTCTGGAAAACAGCCTGGAAGGAAGGAATACCTGCTAATAATCACATGAGTAAGCCTGGAAGCAGATCCCTTCTGAGGCATACCTTCAGATGAGGAAAGTGCTGAATGACACTCTAACTACAACCTCAGCAGAGTACTACTAGGTATTTACCCACAGAATACAAGAAGTCTAACTCAAAGGGATATATGCACGCCAATGTGTATAGCAGCATTATCTACAAAAGCCAAATTATGGAAAGAGCCCAAACATTCACTGACAGATGAATGGATTAAGGAGATATGGTATATATATACAATGGAATATTACTCAGTCATCAAAAAAATGAAATTGTGCCATTTACAATGATGTGGATGGAGCTTGAATGTATTAAGTGTAATAAGCCAATTAGAGAAAGACAAAAATCATATGATCTTACTCATATGTGGAATTTAAGAAACAAAACCACCAAGCAAAAGGAGGAAAAAAAGAGAGGCAAATCAAGAAAAAAAAAAAACTTAACTATAGAGAACCTACCAGAGGGGAGATTGGTGAGTAGATGGAGATTGAGGAGTGCACTTATTGTGATAAGCTAAGTGATAAGCATTGGTATTGTACAGAAGCTTTGAATCACTAAATTATACACCAGAAACCAGTATTACACTGTGTTAACTGGAATTTAAATAAAAACCTAAAAAAAAAACCACTACAAGAACATACTATAGAACATTATCCCTTTATGAATATAGATGCAAAAATCCTCAAATTACTAGCAAACCAAATTTACCAGCATATGAGAAGGACAATACACCATGCTTAAATGGAATATATCCTAGGAATGTAGGGGTGGTTCAACAAATAAAAATCAATATAATACACATTATTAGAATGAAGTATAAGTCCTACAGTAATTGAGACAGAAAAGTGTTTGACAAAATCTAGCACTCTCCATAAAAACGCTCAATATACTAGGCATAGAAAGAAACTTGCTCAGCATGATCAAGGGCATTTATAAAAAACTTACAGCTAACATCGTACTCAATAATGAAAGACTAAAAACTTTTCATCTCAAAGGAGCAAAAAGATAAGAATGATTCAGCATGGTACTGGGTGTTCTAGCCAGGATAAAAGAAATAAAAGATACCCAAATTGGAAAGAAAAAAGCAAAACTATCTCTATGCACAGATAACATGATCTCTTATTTAGAAAACCCCAAAGAGCCCACAAAAACAGAGGAAAGTTTATTTATTTTTTAATGTTTGTTTATTTTTGAGAGAGAGAGAGAGAAACGCATGCAAGTGAGCGTGAACAGGGAAGGGGCAGAGAGAGGAGGAGTCACAGAATCCAAAGTAGTCTCCACCCTCTGAGCTGTCAGCACAGAGCCTGACATAGAGCTCAAACTCACTAACCATGAGATCATGACGTGAGCCAAAGTAGAATGCTCAACAGACTGAGCCACCCAGGCACCCCTGGCCAAGTTTAAAGATACAAAACTAAAACACAAAAATTAGCTTCATTTCCATACACTAGCAATTAATGATTTGAAAAGAAAATTAAGACAATTCCATTTACAATAGCATCAAAAAGAATAAAATACTCAAGATTAAACTTAACAAAAAGGCAAAAACACTGTACCCTAGAAACTACAAACCACTGCTTGGAGAAATTTTTAAAAACGTAAATAACTAGAAAGGAACCCTGTGTTCATGGACTGACTTATTATCATTAAGGTGACAATACTACCCAAAGCAGTCTACAGATTTAAAACTCCAACATTTCTGCACATATGGAAAAATGAAGTCCATTAATATGGACTTTCAAGAAGAGCCAAGAACAGCCATTACAATCTTGCAAAGAAGAACAAAGGTGAAGGACTCACGTTCAGATTTCAAAACTTATTACAAACCTACCATAATCAAAATAGTATAATATTGATATAAGAAGAGACATACAGACCAATGGAGTAGAACTGAAAACCCAAAATTAAACCCTTACATCTATAATCAATTTATTTTAAACAAGAACATCAAGACCATTCAATTAACAGTCTCTTCAACACATAATGCTGGGAAAACTGGGTATCCACTTGCAAAAGAATGACATTGGAACTTTACCACACACTATGCATAAAAATTAACTCAAAATGCATCAAAGATATCAAAAACTCAAACTATAAAACTCGTAGAAGATAATGTAAGTGGAAAACTCATGATATTGGATTTGGCAACGATTTCTTGAATCTGACAACAAAAGCACAGGCAACAAATGAAATGAAAAAAAAAAGATAAACTGGGCTTCAAAATTTAAAACTTTGTGCATCAAAGGAAACCCAGAGAATGGGAGGAAATATTTCCAAATCACGGATCTGATAAGGATTTCATATCCAGAATAAAGAACTCTTACGATTCAACAACAAAATGACAACCCAATTGAAAAATGTACAAAGGACTGTTACAGTTTGCCAAAGATGATATACAAATGGCTAATTAACATACAAAAAGCTACACAACCTCATTAGTCCAATAGGGAAATACAAATAAAAACCACCATGAGATACTACGTCACAAATAAAAATAATTTTTTAAATGAAAAAAAATAAGTGTTGGCAAGGATGTGGAGCAATTGGAACCCTTGTATATTGCCAGTGGGAATGTAAAATGGTACAGCCATGGTAGAAAATAGTCTGGCAGGTGCTCAAAAAGTAAAAGAGATTTATCACACAACCCAGCAATTCCATTCCTAGGTACAGACTCAAAAGAAATTAAAACAGGGACTCAAAACAGATACTTGTACGTGAATGTGTACAACAGCATTATTCACAAGAGCTAAAACACGGAAACAACCCAAGTGTCCATCAACAGATGAATGGAACAAAATGTGGTATACCCACATAATGAAATACTATTTAGCCATAAAAAAGAATAAAGTTCTGATTGTACAATATGGATGAACCTTGGAAACATTATCCTATGTTAAATAAATCAGATACAAAAAGACAAATATTCTATGATTCCACTTACAGAAAATATGTATAAAAACAGGCAAGTTCATAGAGAACAAAAGTAGATTAAAGATTACCAGGGGCTGAGGCAACAGGAGGAATGATAAATTATTGCTCAATGGGTACAGAATTTCTGTTTGTGGCAATGAAAAAATTCTGCCAACAGACAGTTGTGATGGTTGCATAACATTATGAATGTAAGTAATGCTACTATATCATACACTTAAAAATGGGGCTACAATGGCAAATTTTATTTTATATATATTTCACCACATAAAAAAAGATACAGCAACTGCTTAAGGCAAATAGTAACAGTGTATCGTGAGGCTTATAACATGAAGAAATATAATGTATGACAACAGCAGCACAAAAGATGGGAGAATCAAAACAGAAGTGTTCTTTTTTAAGGTTCTTACATCATACTTCAAATGGAAAATGTTATTTAAAGGTAGACTCTGATAAGTTAAAGATGAACTTTACAAACCCCAGTGCAACTATTAAAAGCAAAACAAAACAGTACATCTGACAATGGAGATAAAATGGAACAATTGAAAAAAAAAATGAGTTCAAAAGAAGATGAAAAAGAACAAAAATCAGATATGATAAAAAGAAACAGCAATATGGTAGACTTAAACCTAACCTTACTGACAATTATATTAAATATAAATGACCTACATATCCCATTTTAAAGACACGTATTTTTGGAGCCCCTGGGTGGCTCAGTTGGCTGAATGTCCCACTCTTGATTTTGGCTCAGGTCATGACCTCCTACTCATGAGATGGAGCTCCATCCACATTGGGCTCTGAGCTGGGTGTGGAGTCTCCTTAAGATTCTCTGTGTCTCTCCCTCTGCCCTTTCCCACGATTGCCTGCAGCATGCTTGTTCAAAAAGAAAAAAGAAAAAAAATAAGAGGACACATATTCTCAGACTGGATTTTTTTTTTTTAATGCTTAGTTTTGAGAGAGAGCGAGAGTGAGTGCGGGTGCATGAGCGTGTGAGTGGGGGAGGGGCAGAGAGAGAGGGAGATAGAGAATCCGAAGCAGGCTCCAGGCTCTGAGCTGTCAGCACAGCGCCTGACGCAGGGCTCAGACTCAAAAGCCAAGAGATCATGACCTGAGCCGAAACCAAGAGCCAGACACTCAGGCGACTGAACCACCCAGGTGTCCCTCGATTTGTTTTTTTAAGTTTTATTTATTTTGAGAGAAGAGAACAGGAGTGGGGAAGGGACAGAGAAAAGAGACAGAATCCCAAGCAGGCTCCACAGTGTCAGCGCATACCCCGATGGAGGGCTTTAACTAACAGTGAGATCATGACTAGAGCCCAAAACCAAAATAGTCAGTCACTTAACTGACTGAGCCACCCCGGTGCCCTTCAGACTGGATTTGTAAAAAGCACAATCAAAGAGCTTCTACTTCTGCTTACAATGTACAAAGTCACAACATACCATTTCTCCAATCCTAAAAATTAGTAAAGACTGGATAATCTATTAAATCATGAACCCATCAGGAAACTGAGGCTACAAGAAAACCACATGATTTAAATTCCAAGGAACAGAAAACCCCTTGTAGAAGAAAGCAGACATCTGATAAGTATTAAGGTTATGAAAAAACAAGACTGTGAAAGAGTCACAGATCAAAACTCCTCATATACTGATAATGGAAGTCCTAGTTAGGACACAGTGCTACTTGGGAGAAAAGTCAGGAAAAACACTGGGGAGTTAGGATGGAATAGCTTATTCCAAGGTACAGATATACCCTTGGGACTTCAAGATTCTGAAAATGGAAAATGAATGGTCCTCACCGTCCATGAAGTCTGTAATAGGCCAGCTGAAGTGCAAGCTGAACAAATGTATCAGGGTGAAGCCTCTTCTTCTTGGTTAGTTTTTTACCAAAAGATGTAAAGGCATATGCCACAATCTGCAGATCAGATGCCTAACAAAAAAAATTATACGGGAAAAGTGAAAAATCACATAAGAATACCCCAAAGATAACCAAATCATCATTTGCATTAATCATTCAATATAAAAAAATAAAGGTATCAAAGCTATTAATTTAAAATGCTTTATGTTGTCATGCTTGGATGGTAGCCAAATTCTTACATATGGTAGTTAAAAGACAAAGCATTAGTTTCTAAGAAAAAAGTTAAAAAAAATCTACCTGCTTGAGATATTGGGCTTCAGCCTGATTAATGTTGTTTAGTATTTTATCATCCACAGTGAAAACGAGCTCCTCTGGAAGTGATATATTTCGTACTTTTTCTGAACCCTGAAAATAGGGAAGACTTAAAAATGTTCAATAAAAAACTATTAGGAAAAAAGGATGAAATATTTTTTTCTAACATACCTTCCATCTTCCTTCATTCTCTAAAATTTTCTCATCAACATAATGGCTGATGTTTACCATAACCATTGCATCAAAAGGAGAATGCTAAAATGAAAATATATAAGATGCTGAATACTTTATGTCAACTTAAAACTTGACCCAATATTTCATTTTCAATTTCTCTGCCCTTCATTTTTAATACAGAATAAGCTGCAAAATTCAAATATGTCTCGCCTAATAAGATATGGCTATTCTACAGCATAATAAATAACTGCTATATTTTATCTGCTGTGAAAGAAAAATTTTAAATTGCCACCACCTAATTAGAGATCCTTAGGTAATGCTATCTATATTGGAAATGAAAGCAAGTGTATGTGTGCAGTGCTTAAGAGCACTGTGCAAAATGCAAATGAAGATGGTGGACTTTCTGAAGGCAAACTGAGCATGGACATAGGCCACTATGTTGAGTGTCAAAAAGCATTAACGATTTGGTGTTTATGTCTACACAAGTGCTCAGATGTGGCTGAAATAATTCTCAATGTTTAGGGAATGCTGGCAAGATGGGCCGAGTTACAGGAGTATTATGTGTTTGACAACTATATTAAGAGAAAAAAACTGCAGCTAGTGAATTTTTCCATCATTTACTGTGGAGGACAAATCTCAAGCCTTCTTTTCTCCACGTCCTTTGACAATTACATCAGATAGTTTTATTTTTCCTCCATGCTACTGCTATCACTTAACATTAAACAGTTACTATTAATAAGTTGAATGTGGCACTACCAGCCTTGGAGACAAAGATGGGAAGCTTAAGATATGAACTGAGCACACTTGGGCCAGTTTCAGAGGGAGTAATTAGGTGTATTAAATATCACCCTAACATTAGAGAGATCTGCTGCCCTCTGTAACAGCCCAGTGGAGCCTAGAAGTACAGAATGAATACTGCTACCAACTAAAGAGCAGCCACAACATGAGGAAAGGCTCTTGAGGAAGGTCAGAACAAGATGCACCAACAACTCATCCCACCCATCAGCAACCCATAACAAGACTCACAGATCATTGACAAGCACGTTTTCTAACTGTATCTTGAAACTTTACAAATAATTTTTTTACAGGTATCACATACTGTTTCATTTGATACAATACTATAAATTTCTAACTATTTTACTGGAGCCAGTAAGAAAAAGCAAGACTTAAGGATAAAAGTCTCTTTGACTTATAATTCTACCTACCCATCTCATAGTAGAAAGCTTAGCATGAATTTTTTAAAAAGTCAGGAACTATGAAAATTTCAAATGCTTTTGTGATGTTTTATTTGCTCATACAGTTTTAACTTTTAAAAAAAAAATTTACGTGGAGACAATATATGTAACATACTGTTTACGAATGAGGGTTTTGATTCTGAGTCTAAACTCGACCATTTCCTAGTTGTGCAACTGTTGAAAACGTATTTAATTTTTTAAGTTATGTGCCTCATCTGTTAGTGGGGATAATAATCATAGAATTAGTGAGAAAAATAATTTTAATAATGCTTATAAAGTACTTACTACAGAACCTGGACCACAGCAATCCTCACTAACTGGTGTTATTATTTAGTAAGTGTTTAGTATATGCTTCCGTATGTGCCCTTCACAAAGCCCTATAACAAAGCCTATATAGAAAAGACAAAATAGTTGATCCCAGGATTTTAAATCCCAAAAGGGAAATGTAATTAACTACTATAATCACAAAAGTATATATTTAGGTACCAATGGAATACAGCAGCGACATGGCTTTGGATATAGAATAGACCAGCTTTTGGAGTACAGAGATGACCTTTGAACAACACTGACCCCTCATGCCATCAAAAATCCATATATAACTTTTCACTACCCAGAACTTAATTACTGTTGACCAGAAGTCTTGCCAATAACATAAACAGTCAATTAACATGTTCTGTGTTAGAAGCATTATATCTATATTCTTAGAATAAATATAAGAGGAAATAAAACGTTAAGAAAAGCCTAAGGATGAGGAAATACATTTACTGTATAGTACATTAGTAGAACAAGGCATCACACATCTCATTCCCACCCAAAGCTAGCAAAGCTACCCAGGAATGCAGGAAACCTCCTTCCAAGCAGAATCCAGGGGAAGGGAGAGAACTTGGGAGAAGGGAGAGCACTGTTACTCTTCTCTCTAGGTTGCTTGCTCCCCCTGCCCCCTGACCCCTCTGCATGGTTCTAACTCAGTTTCTGCTTGTGGGAAGTGCTGGCAAAAGGCTCCCAGTATTATTATTCTCTACCTCAGAAAACTTTCAGCACCTCAGACAGCGCTCCTTCCTGCCCTGAGCTCTGCAGCCCAGGTTCTTGCCTGGTGCTATCCTGCCCCAGATATTCTCCTGGACCCATGGCAACGGTCGGAGGGAGTGCAGATTATTGGTCTGTGGTTCTTGGCCAACTGTGGACAATGAAGGGCCTTGTCACTTCACTGTGAATCCCTCTCCAGAGCCAGGTCCTCTGCTCCTTTCAGTTCAAGACCTCAGTGAACCAAACTTTGCACAGGTAGTGAGGTGAGGACCCAGGAGCGTGGAGGAGGCCTGCTGTTCCAGTCTTCCCAGCATCTCTCCTCTACCTTGCCTTCACTTTTAGTCATTCGGCAACCTCTATCTTATTTTTCAATCACAATATAAAATAAATACTTTAAAAAAATAAATATATACTTAAAAAAAATCCACGTATTTAACTGAACCCACACAGTTGAAACCTATGTTTTTCAAAGGTCAACCGCATACACTTTATTAATGATGTTTTACTAGGTTAAATTAATTGCTTTTTCTGTAATCATCTCAGGTTACAAAGGAAACCTACATGGAATTTTAAAAGCAGATTATCATGGGAAGATAATCAGATCAATTTTATAAATAAGTGGGTATTAATTCACATACATTAAGCATGTCCATACACTTACTACAAGAAAACATCTCATTGGTGCTGAGATATGTATTTATTATGGGACCAATATTTTTCATTTAGAGATTTAAAAAAACTCTTAAAGTTATTTTCATCTTGAATTTGAGCCAATAGCAAGAGTTTAGTGCTATTAATAAAAATCAAAGTAGTGCAAGGTGGTTTTTTTGGAGGGATTTGAGGGCTAAAAGTTGAGAAAGTAAAGTAAAATGAGTTCCTGATGATGAGAATAATTTAATCTTATGGAACAATATAACATCCAGTTTGAACAATATATAATAAAATAAAAATTCTCAGAATGAGAATAGGTATAAACTAGAAAACACTAACTGCTGCACTGGCAGATGAATGAATAAAGGAGATGTGGTATACATATACAATAGAATATTACTCTTCCATAAAAAAAATGAAATCTTGCCATTTGGAACAACATGGATGGAGCTAGAGAGTATCATGCTATGCCAAATAGTCAGAGAAAAGACAAAGACCATATGATTTTACTCACATGTAGAATTTAAGAAACAAACAAACAAAATGATCATAGGGAAAAAAGAGAAGCAAGCCAAGAAATAGACTCTTAACTATGGCGAACAATCTGCTGGTTACCAGAGGGGAGGTAGGTGAGGGGATAGGTGAAATACATGATGGGTATTAAGGAGGGCACTTGAAAGGAGTACCAGGTATTCTATGTAAGTACTCAATCATCACATTGTACATCTGAAACTAATAGTACACTGTATGTTAACTGGAATTTAAGTAAAAACTTGAAGAAAAAAAAAAAAAGAGTAACTGCAAGCTACCCATCCATATATAAATGGTCAATGAAACTATTAAGCCAGGGAAGAGAATACACACAAGAGGGAACAATGAGACGAATATTAAGATCAGAATCAGTATATAGGAAAAAGACTGTTAAGATGGAGGCAGTGTCAGAATATGAATGAAGAGGGTAATTAACTGCACCAGACAAGTCAAAGATAAATAGAGGAAGACACTTGTAAGTAGTAAGTTACTTTACGAAGGACAGTTTCTGGGGAATAGTGAGGATATAAACCAGACTAGGTCAAGAATAAACTAAAGAACTCAAGAAAATGGAAGCAATTAACAAGTATTTTGTCAACAATGAACTCTAAGGAAGAGGACAGACAAGAAATCTTTAAAGTGCCTCATAGCACACTTGCACTCTCATGAGGTACTATAATAAACATCTAGTTTTATTACCTGCTCACCAACCACTTCATCTTCTTCTGAGATTTATTTTTCTGTAGGCAACTACCACACACTCTGTGGTGGTTTGAATGAGAATGATTCTACCCTCTAGGTTTCAAGGTTTAACAGGTGATCCAGTCCACACAAATCAAAGCACCTGATTCCTCAGAATGGGTACTTGTCAGACAAAGGCCAATCACAACCAGTGAGCATTATTCCCAGGACTTTTGATGGAAGCACTGGGGCAGCTGAGGTGGGGTAGGGGAGGGCATTTGGTGTGCTGGCCATTTGCATGGAGAACACTAATCTATGAAGGTAGCTGTGAATGTGAAGACAAGACATTTTGGGTACAGTGACCACATGGGATAGTCTACTTGAAGATGAAGTAAAACACAGGAAGTAGTGCCTACAAATGGAGAGGGGAATTTCTAACAAAAGCATTTGGACATCAGAAGTTGGCCTTACCTAAGTTCAGCTGTACCCCTATGCCAACAAATACCTTCTTAAGCTAATGCCAATATAATTTAGGTTTCTATCACCCAGAACTGAATACTGATTAACACAATTATTGAACCCAGATCAATATAACAGGTCTTTTTAATATTGTATAGTGGCTAAATGCTTCTGGAGGAAGGCCACCAAAAACAATCAATCTACCTCATACTATTTTATAGCATATTACATACTTTATGAAAGGTCTTACAATAAAATTACAAGTGTATACTGCAACTCTGATTTTTTTAATTTTATTAGTTCATAGACTTCTTGAATGGCCATCAGAAAATGGCAAAGTAGAGCTAATAAAGATGATCATAGGAGGGGAGCCTGGGCGGCTCAGTCAGTTAAGTGTCCGGCTTCAGCTCAGGTCATGATCTCACAGTTTGTGGGTTCAAGCCCCACATCGGGCTCTGTGCTGAACACTTGCTCAGAACTGAAGCCTGCTTCGGATTCTGTATCTCCTTCTCTCTCTGCCCCTCCCCCACTCACTCTGTCTCTGTCTCTCAAAAATAAATAAATGCAAAAAAATTTTTTAAAAAAAGATGATCATAGGAGAATAAGAGAAACATTTTTATGAAGAAGGCAAAAAAATGGTAGAAGCACAGACACTTTGATATCTATTGTGTAAATACATGTTCCACAGATCATTTTTTTTTTCCATTTTTTTCCATTTTAGGAAAACAGTTTAAAAATTCTGGGTAAATCTAGAAATACATCTGCATATATCTCTCTGTGCACAGAACATACACATAATGCTATTTCTTTTTAAATTTGTTTTCAATGTTTTTATTATTTTTATTTTTGAGAGAGACAGAGTGTGAGGAGACTAGGGGCAGAGAGAGAGAGGAAGACACAAAATACAAAGCAGACTCCAGGCTCTGAGCTGTCAGTATGGATCCTAACGTGGGGCTTGAACTCACAAATCACGAGATCATGACCTGAGCCGAAGTCTTAACCTACTGAGCCACTCAGGAGCTCCAATGGTGTATCTTTTAAGACAGGTTGTAATTCTCAACCAACAGGTAACAGTGGACTTAAGGAGCTTCAAAATTCTTTAAAATACATAACTACATAAAATACATTCAAATTCCACTTTGCAGATACACATCAAACTAACAGACTTACTACAAATAAAAGTAACTTGTCCTATACTCTGTCTTCACTGGAATTTCTAAGCCTTTTAGTATAATGTCATAGAACTATACAAGTGTTTATTTGACCACAGCACAGCCTAATGACTATAGTTTATTGCCATTAAATTAACCTCAACAATTGAAAGGAAAAATAACTTTAGTAGTTTACTTACATCACAACTACAGCCAAATATTCCATTGGAAAAAGAAACCAAATTATAAGATTTGTCTCCCCAGCGTACTGTTGGATCTCCTACAAGAATCATTGCAGTTACCTAAAACAAATTCAATGTTTTAAAATTAAGGGAATTTTATATTAAGAGGTATATAAGAATTATTGTCTTAAGCATGTGTGTGTACACACACACACACACACACACACACACACACTCCTACTTTTCCTCTTCAGGTAAACCAAATTTAATAAAATAATAATTATACTCAAGAGATCATACCACTTCCAGCCCTGTTTTTAGATATTTCTCAAAATCTCAAGAAATCCTACCACAAAAAGGAGGGCTGGTAAAATACTCACGGGAGTTTACTGAACTTCGAAGGGAAAAGATAAAGCTTTTGCAACTTGAATAATCTAAAAGCTGTGATAAATTTAGTCATCAGAGTCTAGCTACAAGAAAAATATTTCAAGAATTCATATCTCAAAGAGGGGGCAAGATGGCGGAGAAGTAGGGAACTCTGTACATTGCACTCGCCCCTATATCTTACATGGAGAAGGCCTGAAGCCATAGGCACCCTTACAGAATCCAGGAGTTTGGGAGGAAAAGGAGACAGAGTCCCCTGAGAAAACCTTCTAGCGTGAGTGCAAACTGGGGAAGATAAAATCGGGCCGGGACCAGAGACACAGAGGGACGGGGGGGATCCCCCTCTGCGGGGAGTTTAGAGGGGAAAGAGAGTGGCCGAAACTGCCCAAGACACTGTGCCTTGCTGGGGAACAGAAAAACCTCCACTCAGGACACAGAGGGACCCAGATGCCTGCTCCCCAGCAGACCCTAGGCGGGACACACTCATCCCAGGTTATTCCCGGGGAAACTGCTCCCTGCGCGCCAACTTGACGTGGAGAGGATGCGCAGCATCCGCGCCTTTGTGCTTCTGGCTCGGCTCGATGCCTAGAGGGGAGGCGAAGGGTTTAAAACTGGGAGATTTCCCCGCGAGTTCGTGTTTCAAGCGACAAGACACAGAGGGACCCGGTTTTCTGCTCTCCAGGTGACCCTGGGCTGGACGCACTCATCCCAGGCGACCCCCGGATGAAACTGCTCCTAGCTCGCCAGCCCGGCCTGGAGGAGCAGCGGCTTCTGGCTCGATCCCCAGGGGGAAGGCGCGAGGCTTGGGACTGCCCTGACGGGCTTGCCTACCAGTTTGTGTTTCTGGCAATTTCAGTGCGGCACGTGGACCAGGAACTGGAAACCAAAGAGGCCTGGCCTGGGATATAGAGCACGGCCCACCTTGGCTGCGCCCCCGGCACAAGGAGTTTACACACCCAACAAAGTGAGTTGCAGTGCTTGGTTCAAGAAGGGACTGGAGTGCCAGCACTCTTCTCCCCACAACCACCAAGGCAGGACTCCCTCCTGACTCACTGGATCACACCACGCTCCTCCCTGCTAGAGGTCTGCCTTCTTCCCTTCTTCCTTTTTTTTTTTTTTTACCAGAGCACTGCCCTGATAAATTCTGCTCACTGGCTTGCTTAAACAGTCACATTTAATCCATTTTCTAGATGTAAATTCTACACCTACCTTCTCATCTCTTTCTCTCTGGAGTAATCAGACTATATAGTTTCTCTGGATAACACCACTGTCATTTCTTTCTCCTCTTCTCCAACCATATTCCACTCTTTCGCTCTTTGAAAAAAAGCCCTTATTCCTTCTGCCTGTTCATTTCATTTCCAATTATGCCTTATCCCCGCTCTGTCACTTCTCTCTCTATGCTCTTCCACCAGCGCTGCATATACCAGGCTATTTATTTGTAGCTGGGAAATCCGGTTATATGCTTTAAACTGTTCTTTGTCTATTGGGTTTCTTCTTTTTTCCTTTTCTTTTCTTCTTTTTTTCTTATGTATTTTATTTTTTTTATTATTTGCCTTCCCTCCTCCTTCTTTTCTCTTTACTTTCTCATTTTCCTTTTCGGTTTGCATGTTTTTTGGATTTGTCTCTGCATTTGTGCGCCTTTGTTCCCTGTGTGTTTGTCTGTCTGTTTTCTCCCCCAAGGCTACCTCTGAAACAAGCCAAAGTACACATAGTGGAGAGTCGCAAATAACAAAACGAGTAGGAAAGTAAAATAACCAAGGTCTCAACGAGACCAAGAGATATCATTCAAAGAACACTTTCTCAACAGACAGGCCCTGGACAGTCAAAGAGCCTTCTTTGGTACAGCAGCGCTCACAGGTGCAAAGTGCATAACAAGCTTTTAAAACTAACAAGAGATAGAAAGCTAACTGAACTGATGAAACGAAAGAGCTCTCCTCCAAAGAAATTCCAGGAAGAATTGACAGCTAAACAACTGCTCAAAACAGACATAAGCAATATAACTGAACAAGAATTTAGGACAATAATCATAAAATTAATCGTTGGGCTTGAAAAAAGCATGGAGGACATCAGAGAAACTATGGCTACAAACACCATGGAGCTTAAAAAAAAAACACCATGGAGTCATGATGAATTTAAAAATGCAATAAATGAGATACATAATAAACTGGAGGTGTCCAATGCACGGATTGAAGAGGCAGAAAGGAGAATAAGTGATTTAGAAGACACAATTATACAAAAAGAAGAAACAGAGAAAAAAAGAGATAAACTGATCCAGGAACATGAAAGAAGAGTTCGAGAGCTCAGCGATACAATCAAACGGAATAATATCCATATCATAGGAATCCCAGAAGAGGAAGAGAGACAGAAAGGTGCTGAAGGAGTCCTGGAACAAATTATAGCAGAGAATTTCCCCAACCTGGGGAGGGAAGTAGACGTTGAAACTCAAGAGGCATAGAGAACTCCCCTCAGATGTAATTTGAATCGATCTTCTGCACGACATATCATAGTGAAAATGGCACAATATAAGGACAAAGAATTTTGAAAGCAGCTAGGGAGAAAAGGGCCCTAACATACAAAGGGAAACCTATCAGAGTGGTGACAGACCTATCTACTGAAACTTGGCAGGCCAGAAAGGAATGGCAGGAAATCTTCAATGTGATGAACAGAAAAAATTAGCAGCCAAGAATCCTCTATCCAGCAAGCCTGTCATTCAGAATAGAAGGAGAGATAAAAGACTCTCCAAGTAAACAAAATTGAAAGAATTTATCACCACTAAACCAGCTCTACAAGAAACCCTGAGGGGGACTCTCTGAGGGAAATGTTTCAAGGAACGCAAGGTACCAGAGACACCACCACAAGCATGAATCCTACAAAGAGCACAAAGACCCTAAACCCATAGTTTTCAATAACAACACTGAATGTAAATGGACTAAATGTCCGAATCAAAAGAGATAGGGTAGCAGAATGGATTTGAAAAAAAATTCCATTTATTTGCTGTCTACTAGAAACTCATTTTAGACAGGAGTACACCCTCAGATTGAAAGTAACGGGTTGGAGAAAAATCTATCATGCTACTGGAAGTCAAAAAAAAGCTGTAGTAGCTATACTTATATCAGACAAACTGGACTTTAAATTAAAGACAGTAACAAGGGATTAAGAAGGGCATTATATAATAATTACAGGGTCTATCCATCAGGAAGAGCTAACAATTATAAATGTCTACACTCCAAATATGGGAGCACCTAAATACATAAAACAATAATCACAAACAGAAACAGTCTTATCTATAAGAACGTGCTCATAGCAGGGGACTTTAATACTCCACTTAACAGCAATGGATAGATCAACTAGATAGAAAATCAATAAAGACACAAAGGACTTAAATGACACATTGGACCAGAAGGATTTGACAGATATATTTAGAACTCTATATCCTGAGGCTATGGAATTCACATTCTTCTCAAGTGTGCATGGCACATTCTCCAAGACAGATCACGTACTGGGACATATAGCAGCCCTCAATAAATATAAAAGAATTGAGATCATACCATGCACACTTTCAGATCACAATGCTATGGAACTCGAAATCAACCACAGGAAGAAGTCTGGAAAATCTCCAAAAACATGGAGGCTAAAGAACACCCTAAAGAACAAAAGGGCCAATCAGGCAATTACAGAAGAAATTAAAAAACACATGGAAACAAATGAAAATGAGAACACAACAATCCAAACTCCATGGGATGTGGCAAAGCAGTCCTAAGAGAAAAGTACATTGCACTCCAGGCCTGTATCAAGAAATTAGAAAAAGCGCAAGTCCAAAATCTAACAGCACACCTAAAGCAACTAGAGGGAGAGCAACAAGAGCACCCCAAACACAGTAAAAGAAGAGAAATAATAAAAATCAGGGCAGAAATAAACAATATAGAAACCAAAGAAACAGGTGAATAGATGAATGAAACCAAGAGTGGGTTTTTTTGAAAAAATAAACAAAATTGACAAACCTCTAGCCAGGCTTCTCCAAAAGAAAAGAGAGAGCACTCAAATAGACAAAATCATGAATGAAAATGGACTGATTGCAACCAACTCCTCAGAAAGACGAGCAATTATCAGGGAATACTATGAAAAACTATATGCCAACAAACTGGACAACTTAGAAGAAATGGACAAATTCCTAAACACTCAACACCAAAATTCACACCAGAAGCTATAGAAAACCTGTACAGACCCATAACAAGTGAGGAAATCGTACCAGTTATCAAAAATCTCCCAACAAATAAGAGCCCTGGGCCAGATGGCTTCCCTGGGGAATTCTACCAGACATTTAAAACAGAATTAATACCCATTCTTCTCAAACTATTCCAAAAAATAGATATTGAAGGAAAACTTCTTGTCTCATTTTATGATGCCAGCATCACTTTTATTTCCAAGCCAGTCATAGATCCAGCAAAAAAGGAGAACTACAGGCCAATATCCTTGACACATACAGATGCAAAAATGCTCAACAAGATACTTGCAAATCAAATTCAAGAGCAGATAAAAAGAATTATCCACCAAGATCAAGTGGGCTGGTTCAATATTCGCAAATCAATGTGATACATCACATCAACAAAAGACAAGACAAAAATCATATGATCCTGTCAATAGATGCAGAAAAAGCATTTGACAAAATAAAGCATCTCTTCTTAATAAAGACGCTCGAGAAAGTAGGGATAGAAGAAACTTATTTAAACATCAAAAAAAGCCATCTACGAGAAGCCCTCGGCTAACATCTACCTAAATGGGGAAAACCTGAGAGCCTTCCCCCTGAGATCAGGAACATGACAGGGTGTCCGCTCCCACCACTGCTGTTTAACAGAGTGCTGGAAGTCCTAGCATCAGCCATCAGACAACAAAAGGAAATAAAAGGCATCAGGATTGGCAAAGAAGAAGTCAAACTTTCACTTTTCGCAGACAACATGATACTCTACATAGAAAACCCGACAAACTCCACCAGCCTACTAGAACTGATCCAAGAATTCAGCAAAGTTGAAGGGTACAAAATCAACATACAGAAATCGGTTGCATTTCTATACACCAACAATGAAGCAACAGAAAGAGAAATCAAGAAATGGATCCCATTCACAATTGGTTAGGAATAAACCTAACTAAGGATATAAGAGATCTCTATGATGAAAACTATAGAAAACTTAAGAAGGAAATTGAAGAAGACACAAAGAAATGGAAAAACATTCCATGTTCATGGATTTGAAGAGTAAATATAGTTAAAATGTCCTTACTACCCAAAGCATTCTACACATTCAATGCAATCCCAATCAAAATTGCACCAGCATACTTCTCAAAACTAGAACAAACTATTCTCAAATTTGTACGGAACCATTAAAGACCCCGAATGGCCAAAGTAATATTGAAGAAGAACACCAAAACGGGAGGCATCACCATCCCAGACTTTAGCCTCTACTACAAAGCTGTCATCTTCAAGACAGTATGGTATTCGCACAAAAACGGACACATAGAACAATGGAATAGAACTGAGAACTCAGAACTGGACCCAAACATATACAGCCAACTAATCTTTGACAAAGCAGGAAAGAGTATCCAATGGAAAAAAAGACAGCCTCTTTAACAGATCGTGCTGGGAGAACTGGACAGCAACATGCAGAAGAATGAAACTAGATCATTTTCTCACACCATACACAAAAATAAACTCAAAATGGATAAAGGACCTAACATGAGAGAGGAAACCATCTAAACCCTAGAGGAGAAAGCAGGCAACAACCTCCTTGACCTCCACTGCAACAATTTCTTACCTGACACATCCCCAAAAGCAAGGGAATTAAGAGCAAAAATGAACTATTGGGACTTCATCAAGATTAAAAGCTTCTGCATGGCAAAGGAAACAACCCACAAAACTAACAGGCAACCGATGGAATGGGAAAAGATAGTTGCAAATGACAGATCAGATAAAGGGTTAATATCCAAAATCTGTAAGAAACTCACCAAACTCCACATCCAAAAACAATCCAGTGAAGGCATGGACAGAAAATATGAACAGACACTTCTCCAAAGAGGACATCCAGATGGCCAACAGACACATGAAACGATGCTCAACACACCTCCTCATCAGGGAAATACAAATCAAAACCACACTGAGATACCACCTCACACCAATCAGAGTGGCTAAAATGAGCACATCAGAGGACTCTAGATGCTGGCGAGGATGTGGAGAAATGGGCACCCACCTACACTGTCGGTGGGAATGTAAACTGGTGCAGCCCCTCTGGAAAACAGTGTGGAGGTTCCTCAAAAAATTAACAATAGAACGCCCCTATGATCCAGCAATTGCACTGCTAGGAATTTACCCAAGGGATATAGGAGTGATGACGCATAGGAGCACATGTACCCCCATGTTCAGAGCAGCACACTCAACAACAAAAAAAGAGCCAAAACATGGAAAGAGAGTAAGTGTCCATCAACGGACAAATGGATCAAGAAGATGTGGTTTATCTATACGATGGAATACTACATGGCAATGGAAAGAATGAAATCTGTCCATGCGCAGCAACATGGATGGACCTTGAGGGTGTTATGCTGAGCGAAATAAGTCAGGCAGAGAAGGACAAATACCATATGTTTGCACGTATAGGTGGATTAGGAGGAACTTAACAGAGGACTGTGGGGGAGAAGAAGGGGGGAAATAGTGGGGGTGAGGGAGGGAGGCAAGCCATGAGAGACTCTTGAATGTTGAGAACAAACTGAGGACTGATGGGTGTGGTGGGGGACGGGGGGTGATAGGCATGGAGGAGGGCACTTGTGGGGATGAGCACTGGATGTTATATGGAAACCAACTTGACAATAAACTATTTGTTAAAAAAAAAAAAACAATAAAACACACACACACACACACACACACACACACACACGAATTCGTATCCCACTAAGCCTGTTTCTTAAACAGGTTCTGGCCCATTGGTGAGCCATGAAAACAATTTAGCACATCACAGTAAACATTCATTATACAAAGAAGGAACAAAATAAAAATAAAAATCACAGTCTATCACAGATAGTAAAAGTAATTACTATTTTGTGAAACTTCTATTATGTGTATGTATGAACGTAGTGGGCTACAATCGACATACATGTCTAACTAGACTACAAGTTCAAACACTACATTAAAATATATCCTTCCTCACAAAGTATGGTGACTCTCCCAAGGTGCCTGGGTAGCTCAGTCAGTAAAGGATATGATTTCAGCTCAGGTCATCGTCTCACAGTTCTTGAGTTTGAGACCCGCATCAATCTATGTGCTGACAGCTGAGCCTGGAGCCTGCTTTGGATTCTGTCTCCCTCTCTCTGTGCCCCTCTCCCACTCACCCTCTGTCTCTCTCAAAAATAAAGATTTAAAAAAATTTTTGAAAATAGAAGTAGTTTGGGGGCACCTGGCTGGCTCAATGGTTGAGTGTGCGACTTCGGCTCAGGTCCTGATCTTGCAATTTGGGAGTTTAAACCCTGTGTCCAGCTGTGTGCTGACAGCTCAGAGCCTGGAGCCTATTTCAGATTCTGCGTCTCCCTTGCTCTCTGCCCCTCCCCCACTCTTGGTCTGTCTCTCTGTATCTCTCAAAAATAAATAAATATTAAATTTTTAGAAAAAAGTTTGATGACTCTCCTACTAAAAAAAGTCCAGCTAAAGTTATAAAAGTTATTTTGACCTACAAGATATTTCAACCCTTTATTACTTCTATTATTTAATCATGATGAACCCATAATGAAATAATTTAAGTGTTTTCAAAAGACTAAGAGACTTCTACAAATATGACTACTACCTTTTACTGTTTCCCAGGAAATGATAACATTACCCGGGGAGAGGGGGGCAGGGGAGGAAACAAAGTAAAGCTACATTTACTCTCTACTCACGACTCACTTAAGTCAGTGTGTCAATAAAACCAAATGACAAAATAAATTACTTACAAGAGTGATATAACTCCTAGGACCTCACCAACTAAGATGTCAAGGCACACTGGTATGGGTTACAGAAAGGTTCTCGTGTCACCTTTAGCCCAGTGTCCTATGTAAATTTTCTGTCCATGCAAACAATAGTCATACTTCTTTAAACAATGTGCAACACATATCTAAATTACCTAAACAATGAGGCGAGAATTTACAAAAGATTATTTATGTATAGGCTTCGATCTGGTGTATGTATATATGACAACTAAAGTAAAAATTTTAAGACACTACATGTAGCAAAAAATCTTTTCATCTTCAATATACATAAGAGTCTTCAAGAATAATCTGTAAGAAGAACAAGATAGTCCAGTACCTGAGAATAGTCTTCTGGTGTGACATGTGGACTGCTATCCTCTATGGAATACACCAGTAAACTGCTCTGAATTTTTTCTAACCTCGTCAAATTCTCTGGATCAAGACTAATCAGATATTCTCGTGCCTAAGAGACAAAGAGATAATGATCAAATGTTACAAGCTAAATATATCCAGAAAATCTAAAAATAGTTTGTTAGGGAAACGGTTTATTACGTAAAGTATAAGTGCTTTCTGAAAGTAGAATATTCCTATGAAATTTTTCATGAGCCAAAATGGTATAAAGCAAAGAGGCAGTTACCATTAACTTATATGGAAAAATGTCTGAATGTTCCCAGCCCCCCAAAATAACCTCGCTTTTGCTTTACCGATAACACAGGACACGTCTTGCTGGGGGGCGCACAAATAAAGTCAGATACAGCACAGATGCTCACAGACACAGAAGCTCACAGCTTGCTGGTGAGATACTGACGGTAGCTCCAGGGGAAGGGGCTGGGTGCTGCCACTCTTGCTGCTTGGGGAATGTGCTGTGATCAACACTTGCTGACACTAGTTTTGCTTTTTGCCTTTTTTCATAAAAGCAAAAATCCTCTTTGGGTTTCTTTCAGTGTGTTAAAACAAGTACTAATGTAGGTCCTTTGTGAAAGTGTAGGGACATAACACAAACTTTCAAAAAGTGGGGGATACCTGTGCAATGAATAATACCTATTACATATTTGAAAATTGCTAAGAATACTTTTTAAAAGTCCTTATCACAAGAAAAAACAATTTTTTATGTGAGATGATGTTAACTAGATTTATTGCTATCATTTTACAACATATACAAATATCTAATCATTACGCTGTACACCTGAAACTAATATTATGTTATGTCAATTATACCTCAATTAAAAAAAAAAAAACTGTAAATGATAACCTTAGCCCATCGGGTTCGCTCCTCACTAGTTAATGCTGGTATGCCAGGTCCATCAGGTTCACTATGGCACTTCTTGTGAATATATGTCAATTGCCTTAGGGAAGATTAAAGAAAGAACATATAAAAAGCATAAGCAGGATCACTAGCTACTTTTAGCCTTTAATAGGTCATAATGCTTATCAGTACTTAAAACATTTTGACATATTATCCAAACGAAGGGATTATGATCTCAACAGCAACAGATTTATTTCCCACACCCCATCTTTTTTTTTTTTTAAAGTGTGAGTAATGTGGCCTATTAACACAGAAGTATATTTGATAATAACTTGACTCAGGTAATGATCTCACAGTTTGTGAGTTCGGGCCCCGCATCAGGCTCTGTGCTGATGGCTAGCTCACAGCCTGGAGCCTGCTTCAGATTCTGTGTCTCCCTCTCTCTCTCTCACCCTTCCCTGCTTACGCTGTCTCTCTCTCTCTTAGAAATAAATTTTTTTTAATAAAACAAGGACACAAAAACATAATCCATATGGTAAAGGGTGAATAAACTGGACTACATTCAATGAACAACTTCTCAGGAGAATGGCTAAAATCAAAAAGAAATAAGTTTTGGGGAGGATGTAATCCTCATGCACTGTTGGTGGAAATGTGAACTGTGGAAAACAGTACTGAAGTTCCTCAAAAAATTAAAAAGAGAAATACCATATGATCCAGTCATTCCACTAAAGGATATTCCCAAAGAAAATGAAAACACTATTTCAAAAAAGACTTATGCACCCCTATGTTCACTGAAGTATTATTTACAACAGCCAAGATATGGAAGTAACCTAAGTGTTCACAGATAAACAAATGGATAAGGAATATGTGGTATGTATACACATACACAGTAGAATATTACACATCCATTACAAAAGGATGAGATTGTACCATCTGCTGTAACATGGATGGACCTAGATGGTATTATACTGAGTGAATTCAGTCAGACTGAGAATGACAAATACCATACAATCTTACTCATGTGGAATCTAAAAATACAGATGAATTAACAAAAGAACAAACTAATGTTGCCACAGGGGAGGGAGGGAAAGGGGAAAACCAAAATGGGTCAAGAGGAGTGGGAGACATAGCCTTCCAGTTATGGAATCAGTAACTCATGGGATTAAAGAGTATACTATAGTGAATAGTCAATGATATTCTAATAGTGTTGTATGGATGGTAGTTGCACTTCTGGTAAGCATAATACAGGAAAATGTTTGGTCACCATGCTATGCACTTAAAAGTAACCTAACACTGTGTGTCAACTACCCTAATAGAAAAAAAAAAAAAAAGAACTCCTTTTGATCAAAAAATACTTTAATAGCAAATAGGGCAGTTATAAATATCTTCTATTCTCTGTATTTCCATGCATAAAAACAACAAAAGGCTCACATCCAAAATGTATAAAGAACTCCTCCCACAAGAGTCATTTATGTGTGAAAATGCTAATTATTAGTTTAACTATTTTGGAAAACTGCGTTATGTACTGAATTTAATGTTCACATACCCTATGACTAAACAAGTCCTTTCCTGGGTATAATCAGACAGAAACCGTACAAGGATTCTCACAGTAGCATCTTTTGTACTAATGAAAACTGTAAGCAACCTAAACAATTATCCTTGGGAAGAAGGGAAAGCATGGTAAGTGACAACTGGTACTAAGGAAATTTCTAATATACTGGAAATGTTTTATTATCTTCACCTGGTGGTGGTTACATGAGTAGCTGTATACTTCTGTGTGCACTTTTGTACATGTTTGTAATAATAAAAAATTTTTAAGACATATATAGACACATACAACTCAACATTTATTTTAAAAACTAGGAAAATTTGAACTAATGATTGTATATTAATGATATTAAAGAATTCTTCATTTTCTAAAAGAAACAAGTCATTAGGTACGATAATGGTACTGTATGTGTATGATTTTAAGAGTCCTTATACTAAAATATTTATAGTGAAAATATATTATGTCTGAGGTCTTTTTTTTTTTTTTTTACAGTAATTCATAGGAGAGTGAGGGGAGGGAAAGAGGAGATATAGTTGAAACAAGACTATGAATTTATCATTATTGAAGCTAGAAGATAACTGTTGAAGCTCAGGGAGGAGAACATGGAAGAGCTTCATTATATAGTTCCCTCTAAATTTTGAAGTTTTCCATAATATACTTTGAAAATATACACACAAAATACTATACATACAATCTGCACATACTATTTATATGTATTTAAATACATACTAAGTATAAAATACACACATTCTTTTTTAGAAATCTTTATGTGCATATAAATTCATTAGAACAGATACAGAAGAATAGAATTCACCAAACTAGTAATAGTGAGAAATTCGGGGGCAAGAAATGGAGTTGGTAATATGTTGAATGTTTTCCTTTTCTCCAAGAGAATATATTCATATACATCTAGTAAAGTTAAAAATTAAAACTAAAAATAAAATAATAAAGTTTTAAAAAGTGAGCATATATAGAATTATTTATTTTTAGCTTACTGTCCCCTTATACAAAGGGAATTGCAAACAAAATTTATGTGTTTTAACTGAAGCAAAAGCTTAACACCTCAAGACTCAAGAAAGTAGTTTGAAAACCTGTGAATCTCTGGTGGGGTCATCAAAGATCCTTCATGCATTACATCAAAGACAAAAACTCGGCCTCGACAAAGCACCGTAAGGTGAGTTGGAGAATGCCCTTCACTCTCTGGAATAAGAAACAGAAAATACAAACTCAATCTCCCAAAGTTAAACAAGAGTAAAACTGCTTATTTATATCCAAAAGAAGAAAATAATCCTTGCTCCAATACTTGATAATATATTCACATAGTCATCAAAATTATCATATGAACAATAAGGTGATGAACTTTCAATTATGATATAAATATACACTCTTGAAGTCTATCAGGTGAAACAGCCAAAAATCCACGGATCTTCAAGTATTTGTACACTTTGAGGCTTACATAAATCCCAAACTCCTGCAGGGCTTTCTAGTTTATTAATGGATAGAAATGGCAAGGGTAAAAGGGGAGCAAAGAATCCTATAGAAGAACTGTGTGAATTTGTTTCTCTTTGGCTTTATTTCAATACTGAGTGCTTATCAGATAATTTAATTGCAGTAATATCTAGCTATGATTTCTAAATACAATAGTTCTCAATTGAAAAAGGGCACTGTTTGAATGGCAAGGAGAATGCTTTTTACCAAATCTAGTTTTAATTAAGGCTCTAATCACACCTGGCAAGCCACTGACACTTGATTCTATGATTTGTTGGGCACGCTTTAACTCCCTAAGAACGGTGTTTGCTGTAAATCTCAGCATATTCTGATTTAGCCCAATTTTTCAATTACTATTGCCTTTGACAAAGGTCCTGCTTTATGATCACTGTTCCATTCCTCTAAGAAAAAAAACAGGGGTGCCTGGGTGGCTTAGTTGAGTGGCCGACTTTCACTTAGGTCATGATCTCGCGGTTCGTGGGTTCGAGCCCCGCGTCGGGCTCTGTGCTGACTGCAGGCTCAGAGCCTGGAGCCTATTTCAGAGTCTGTGTCTCCCTGTCTCTCTCTAACCCTCCCCTGTTCATGCTGTCTCTCTCTCTCCTAGAAATATATTAAAAAAAAAAAAAAAAAAGAGAGAAGACATATACTGCCAATAGCAGGAAATTTACTGACTGATATTATGTACAATGAATTATGGTAACTGCTTTACACATATTGTATGATGAAACCCATCAACTATGAGGAAAGGCCATCTCCTCATAGCTCTATTTTTTCTCTTATATCCTATTTCTTCCAGTTCTAGGAGGTAAGGTATGTATTTTCCTTGTCCTTCATGGCTACTTCCAAAACATTTCTTCTCTTTCCTTCAATGAAAACCTCCATATGTTTTTACATTTAATGCTACTACATATTATTGCTGCCATTTACTGACCACACCCTATTCAAAATTTAGGGCTGGAAAAGAAAAAAGAAAATACGCCTGATGGCAAATTAATCAACAAATGTTGGGAGAATGACATGATAAGAGGGCATTACCTCAGGAGGAAATAGCAATTGCAAAGGCATTAGGACAAAATGAGATGGCTTGCTTGGGATGCCTGGGTGACTGTTGGTTGAGCATCCGACTTCGGCTCAGGTCATGATCTCATGGTTTGTGGGTCTGAGCCCCATGCTGGGCTCTGTGCTGACAGCTAGCTCAGATCCCAGAGCCTGTTTCAGATTCTCTGTCTCCATCTCGCTCTGACCCTCCTCTGCTCATGCTCGCTCGCTCTCTCTCTCAAAAATAAAACATTTTTTAAAAATTTTAAAATTTTTAAAAAAGTCAGTACAGCTGCAGCAGATAGAGAAAAGGGTAGAATGGTAGGCAGGATCAGGGCCAGGTTATACTGGCCTCAGAAAGCACTTCCAATTTTAAATATGATGAGAAGGAAGCCTATGGAGGGTATTAAGGAAGACAGTAATGTGATCTCATTGGTACTGGAAAAGGCCACTCAGGCTGCTCTATGAAGAAGAGATCGTAACAGTGAAGAGGACATACAGCAAGATCAGTTGGGAGGTAACTCAAGGGGTCCAGATGACAATGATCCAAGTGAAAGGTGATGGTGGGTTTGAATGAGGTGTGACGCTTGAAGGAGACAAGAGGTCAATTTTTTTCTTCTTTTCAGATGAGAGATTCTACAGATTGGAACAATCCAATAAAGAGGGAAAACTAATAATGCAGCAGAGAGAGAGAGAGAGAGAAATTCAGAAGCAAGGTCCTTGATTACACAAGAGGAGGTGGGGCCCAGTGCACTATACAGAGGGTTGTCTTTAGGAGTCAAAGCAGTTCATCCATGTAAAGAAGGGAAGGCAGAGTGAATGAATGTACAATAATGTACTGCAAGGGGGATGCAGCAGGATGGACAAGTATTTGAATGAGTATGTTTTCTATGACTGCTGAAACAAATTACCACTAACAACACAAATGGATTATCTTACAGGTCTGGGGAGCAGAAGTCTGACACGTGTCTTACTGGGCTAAAATGAAGGTGTCAGCAGGTCTGTGTTCCTTCTGGAGGCTCTAGAGGAGAACCAGTTTCCTTTGCTTTTCCAGCTTCTGGAGGCTGCCCACACTCTTGCCCTTAAGACTCTCCTCTTCCATTTTCAAGACCATCAAGGGAGGATCACGACTTTCTTATCCTGCCATCAGCTGGGTTTTCTTCTGCCTCCTCCTTCACTTCTAAGAATTCTTGTGATTACTTTGTGCCCACATGAATATTCCAGAATAATCTTTCCAGGTCTAGGTCAAGTGATTAACAACCTTAACTTCATTTGTGACCTTAATTCCCCTTTACCTTGTAACCTAAAACACCTGACAGGCTCCAAGAAATAGGAAGTGAATATCTTTGGGGGGCTGAGGAGCAATTATTCTGCCTAACAGAAAGGTTGGTAAATTTCATGATGGAAAGACAGCTTTACATTTGTTGAGAATAAGAGCTCATTAGCTGAGAATAAAGAAAAGAAAAGCATGAGACAGCTTTCTGGAAGACAGAGAATAACCTCACAAAAAAATATGGCAAGGTCGGGGCACCTTGGTGGCTCAGTTGGTCAAGCAACTGACTTTGTCGCAGGTCATGATCTCTCAGTTTGTGAGTTCAAGCCCCACGTCGGGCTCTGTGCTGACAGCCTGGAGCCTGCTTCTGATTCTGTATCTCCTTCTCTCTCTGCCTCTCCCCCGCTTATGCTGTGTCCTTCTCTCTCTCTCAAAAAAAAAAAAAAAAATTAAAAAATTGTTTTTAATATGGCAAGGTCATGCTGTGGATCCATATAAGTTTTAACGGAGAAAATTAATGAGGTTTTCTCAGGCCAAGTCAATTGCTAGCATAAGTATCTTTAGTATGTAGAGGTAAGAGAGAATTAAAATTAAACAGTGATGACGGGTGGGTGGAGTGGGGTGGGCGGGCAAAGATTTTAAAGTGTATGCAAAGGAGTGATTACAGTGGAGAGGCAGGCATGTAATTGTGAAGAACTGTAGCATAACTGCATTTAAGTCACAATGTGACCAAAGAAATAGCTAAGGGGGGCTACTAAAGAAAGGGAGTTGTGAAGAAAAGGTGGAGATTAGAGGGAGATGCTTATAATTTCAATATTAGAGGAGATGGAGTTTTTGATAATAACAAGGTCTAGGGCACGACCACAGAAGTATGTGGCTCCCTGAGAAGGAATGGAGGTACAGATTACTAGAGGAAGAAAGTGAAGCAAAGCAGAAGTCATGGATAATCTACAATTGGAAGTTTAAATCATCAAGGCTGTAACTGAGGTAGTAATGGAAAGAAATGCAGGGAGCCTCATGCTAAAGCAATCAATGAACAAAGGGGAATGATCAAAAATAAAGTCATTGCAATCATAGCAAGCATTGGTGATCTCATCTGATAGCTTTCCTTTTTTCCAGAGCTCAAATTGTAGGAAAAAGGCAAAATGGAAAGGACAACAGGAAATAAAGAGCAAACAACATCTCCTACATTTCTTCTAGTACCAAAGTATGAGAAAAAATATACCCACTTGAGATGGTTACAGGGAATGCACTAAGCTCAAAGAATAATCAGGGTTAGTAATAGAACCCTTCAGAAGTAAACAGGAACTTTCAGAGAGAAGGTTGAAGATATAAAGGATTTTGCTAACTGTGTGCTTCATAAAGTACAAAAGAGTCTCGAAAAGTAAGGGAGAGTAGGTCACAGTAGTGAGGAACGCAGATTAAATTAGCCTAAACACAAATCCACGAATCCAGATGACAGGCTATGACCTGACAAGTCTGAACTTCTAGGCAAAACGAGGTAAACAGGGAAAAAGGCATGACCAAATTAGTCTTAATGGTCTCTTAAGGGAGAAATAAAAATAAAAAAAGTTCTAAATATTGCCTCTTTACTACACCATTATTTTAGCCACAGCAGCTTACATGCTGCCTCCACATAACATAATTTCTTCAATTTTCTCTGTATCCAAGATAGATTCCATGACCCGTTTTAATTTCTCCCTTCCAAAACACTTAAATCTTTCACTCTCCCTCTGCTTGATTGTTGAAGAAAAAACACATTATCTAATTTAACTTTAAATTCATAAACACATCATTTCAAATGGGCACTCAACACTGATCAGCTACCATATGTTTCCATAGCAAATTTGCTTCTCCTACTTTACAAAAACGACTAGTATTTCGAACCTTCTTTCTCCTCCAATCTTCTACCCCAGCTGACGACCTCAGTTATCATTTCACCAAGGCAAACATAAGGAATCCACAGGGCGTCATCTTCTCACAACAAAACTGGTCAATTATGTCCGCATCTAGATGCACACTTTCTGTATTTCCTCTCATCTTTGGTCATTTCTCACCCCTCCGCCATTTCTATGTTTGACATTCTCATCTCTTTCCAAAAACTGGCTGTTTATTCTTTCCCCTGCAAGATTATTTTTCTTTCTCTCCTATGTCAATCTCATGATATAACGGCACTCATTTTACTTTTTTTTAATTGAAATTTTAGCTAGCCAACATATAGTGCAGTATTGGTTTCAGGAGAATTCAGGGATTCATCACTCATATACAACTCCCAGTGCTCATCACAATTGTTTTCCTTAATACCCATCACCAATCTAAGCCCAGCTCCCTCCACCAGCCTGTTTGTTCTCTATCATTAAGAGTCTCTTGTGGTGTTTTCCACTCTTCTCACTCCAACCCACCCTTTCCATATGCTCATCTGTTTTTGTTTCTTAAATTCCACGTATGAGTGATATCATATGGTTTCTCTGACTTATTTTGCTTAGCCTAATACATTCTAGCTTCATCCATGTCATTGCAAACAGTAAGATTTCATTATTTTTGATGGCTAATATTCTATTGTGTGGGTGTATGTATGTACGTGTGTGTATGTATATGTGTGCATGTATGTATGTATATGTGTGTATACACAGAGTTTGTCTATTTTGATAATGCTGCTATAAACTTTGGGGTCCATAGACCCCTCTGAATCGGTATTTTTGTATCCTTTGGGTAAATACCTAATGGTACAATTGCTAGATTATGGGGCAGTTCTATTTTTAACTTTTTGAGGAACCTCCCTACTGTTCTCCAGAGTGGCTGCACCAGTTTGTACTCCCACGTATAGTGCAAGAGGTTTCCCCTTTTTCTGCATCCTTGCAAACACCTATTGTTTCTTCTGTTGTTAATTTCAGCCATTCTGACAGTATGAGGTGGTATCTCATCATGGTTTTGATGTGTATTTCCCTGATGATGAGTGATGTTGAGTATCTTTTCAGGTGTCTGTTAGCCATCTGGATGTCTTCTTTGGAAAAGTGTCTATTCATGTCCTCTGCCCATTGTGTGTGTGTGTGTGCTGAATTTGTTAAGTTCTTTATAGACTTTGGATATTAACCCTTTATCCGATATGTCATTTGCAAATACCTTCTCCCATCCCATAAGTTACCTTTAGTTTGTTGATTGTTTCCTTCACTGTATAAAAGCTTTTTATCTTGATGAAGCAGTTCATGTTTGCTTTTTTCCCCCTTGCCTCCAGCAAAGTTTCTAGTAAGAAGTTGCTGCTGCCAAGGTCAAGGAGGTTACTGCCTGTGTTCTCCTCTAGTATTCTGATGGTTTCATGTCTCACATGTAGGTCTTTCATCCTGGTCACTGCCGAGTTTTCTCAACACCATTTGTTGAAGGGACTTTTTTTTTCCCATTGGAGATTCTTTCCTGCTTTGTCAAAGAGGAGTTGATCATGTAGTTGTGGGTCCATTTCTGGGTGTTTTATTCTGTTTTTGTGGAAGTAACAATAGTGTCTTGATGACTACAGCTTTGTAATAAAGCTTGAAACCAGAATTGTGACGCCTCCAATTTTGTTTGCCCTTTTCAGGATTGCTTGGACTCTTCGAGGTCTTTTGTGATTCCATACAAATTTTAGGATTTCTTATTCTAGCTCTGCAAAAAATGCTAGTAGTATTTTGATTGGGACTGCATTAAACGTATAGATTGCTTGGGGTAGTATAGGCATTTTAACAATGTTTGTTCTTCAGTGACCATGAAATGCTTTTCCATTTCTTTGTGTGCTCTTCAATTTCTTTCCTAAGTGTTCTATAGTTTTCAGAGTACCTCTTTAGTACTTTCCTAGGTATCTTACTGTTTTTGATGTAATTGCAAATGGGATCAATTTCCTTATTTCTTTTTCTATCACTTTGTAATTGGTGTATAGAAATACAGATTTCTGCACGTTGATTTTATACTCTGTGACTGTGCCAAATTCATGTATTAGCTCTAACAATTTTTTGGTGCCATCTGTTGAGTTTTCTACAGAGAGTATCCTGTCATCTGCAGACAGCAAAAGTCTGACTTCTTTCTTGCCGATCTGGATGACTTTTTCTTCTTTTTGTTATATAATAGCACCTATTTTTAAAAAGATAAAGTATCTCCCACTGTACATCAAAAGTTCTCCCATAAGGATTATTTCCAAATGTTGTCACTACTTACTTGGCTTGTTTTCATCTCCTCCAGTTGAGCTCCCTTCTCCAACCTCCACTAAGACTGCTCTTGTCAGGAGCAGATTGTCTATATCATGTTGACAAATACAACAGTCACTTTTAATTTTTACCTCAGTTGACCTCTGGAGCATTCAATACAACACTTCCTCCTCTTGGCTTCTAGGAGACCACTGTCCTTGTTCTTTCCCACCTTGGTCTCTCTTGCTGTGCTCTCCTCTTCAGACCACCAAATACCATATTTAATTGTGCTAAGCATCATTACCAGTTCACCAGATAATCTTCATCTATTTGTGTTACAAAAGTAATCTTAGCTACTCTTAAGGATTTAAAATGTTTTCTGTGACTGCTAATGGTGATTCCTAAATCTCTTTGTGCAGCACTGAAATTGTTCTTCAAGTCCAAACTTTGTATCCAACTGTCTATTTGCATTTCACTTCAGATGTCTAAAAGGCAGGGACCTCTTAATTTCCTCCCTAAATATTTCCTCCCAATTTTTCTCATCTCATGAACCAACACACCTATCTACTCCATTTTTTAAGCCAAATACCTTGAAGTCATCTGACTCCCTTTTTTCCCCTTACATCTCATAACCAATCTATGAATTATTCTGTTAAACCCAAATCCAAAATATATCCAGAATCTAACAACTTTTTATCAGCTCCATGTTATCACCCTAGTACAAGTCATTATTCTGGCTCACTAGAACTACTAAAACAATCGTCTAACTGATTTCCCTGCTTCTACCATTGTCTCCAAAAATCTTAATCTTCAAACAGGAAGTAGAATCATCATTTCAAAACATAAACCTGTTCACATCACTTTCTCAAAACTCACTAATATTGTCTTATTCACATTTTAAGTAAAATCCAAAAACCTGAGTTGGCTTACAAAATACATAAGATCTAGCCTCTAGTCACCACTCCAGTTGGCCCCGCCCCCTCTGGCCTACTCTACTCCATCAATATTCCCCTTCAAACATGCCAAGTTTATTCATGCCCAAGGGATTTCTTCCCTCCACACATAAAACAACAATCTGAATCAAACAAAAATAAAAAGCCAAAAAGCTGCTGAGACATATTATTCGTATCTTCAAAAAGGCTTTCCCTGACTACGTAAACAGCCGCCCAGTTACCCCTGTTTTTTGAATTCTCTATACAGTATTTATCACCAACTCCGTTCTTTCTTTGTTTACTTATTACCTCAGCTTTATCCCTATCTATACCTCTTCACATGGCCATAAGTACAAGAATATAGTTTATGACAGCTTGAAGGATTGTATTAAGAGGCACATTATTCAATTAATGACTCTGCACTTTACATGCCCAAAAACCATAAAATACCTAAGAATAAATCTAACCACAGAGGTAAAAGAGCTGTATGCTAAAAACTATAGAAAGCTTATGAAAGAAATTGAAGCAGACACAAAGAATTGGTTTAGAGTCCAACTCTTGATTTCAGCTCAGGTCATCATCTCACAGTTGATGAGTTCAAGTCCAATGTCAGACTCTGAGCTGGCAGCAGAAATCCTGCTTTGGATTCTCTCTGCGCGCCTCTCTCTCTCTCTCTCTCTCAAAATAAACAAGCATTTTAAAAAAATCCATCCCCACAAATTACTTTCAACTAATCGCAAGGACTAAAAGGTTCAAAGAAAGCCTCTGATTAGTCATCCATAGTGTCATAGTAGAAACCACAGCACAACTACCCAAATCCCAATGCCTTTACCAAAAAATACCCACATTTTCTACTTACCAGTCCTAAAATAATTTATAACTGAATCTCTAGTAATCCCTGGAATCTTGCAGGTGGAAAACAGCATTCGGAATTGATTCATATCGAGAGGATTATTTCCAACTTTATGAACAGGCACTTTTTCCCTATTAAGACAAACAAACAAAAAGTATTTTGGTCAGCAAGTCATTAGAACACTTGTAAAACAAGCAGTCACAACCGTAGTATCTTCAAATAAGTAAAATTTAGCTTCTCAAATATTTTGCCACCTAAAAACTGTAGGTAAATCTGTTACTAAACTCACATAACTGTCCTTACTTTCTTAACAGCTGCCAGTAGTTCAAGTTATGCCAAAGAGTTATACTTCCTCTTTCCAACTGAGTGCCTTCCTTTGGAGGCCAGCAGTGTTCAAAATAAGGTGCAGGACCCGCAAAATTGACATTCAGTTGTGATGGTAAACGAGCATCCAGATAGGCAACATTCAGCCACCATTCTTCCAGCTAAAAGAAATTAAGAACTTCAACTTAATGAGATTGGGTATACTTGAATGTGTAACTGCTGCCAAACAAAACAAAAGCTGTACTTGTTTACTCTTTAATACTTAAAAGCACATTTACTTGCCCACATCAAATTGCACAATGACAATGGCTTTTAATGTAGCATGTTTAACTAATAATAAATTAAAAAATAGGGGCGCCTGGGTGGCTTAGTCGGTTAAGCGTCCGACTTTCGCTTAGGTCATGATCTCGCGGTTCGTGGGTTCGAACCCCGCGTCGGGCTCTGTGCTGACTGCAGGCTCAGAGCCTGGAGCCTATTTCAGAGTCTGTGTCTCTCTCTCTCTGACCCTCCCCTGCTCACGCTGTCTCTCTCCTAGAAATAAATAAAAATATTTTTAAAAATTAATTAATTAATTGAAAAATAAAAACACATTTTCTTGTTTTAAATTATCATAGATAATTGAAAAATGCTATGATCATTTCTTTCTTTTGGAACTGTACCATCTTAAATATTATTCAGTTTATTTGCACTATCAATAACAGGGAACCAGAAAGCCCTGAAAAGGCAACTTCAGATAGATCATAATAAAATCACAAACACCAAAGTCCATAGGTGTGTTTTTTCAGAGTACTTTGGGTACAATAAATATTTACAAATCCTTACTTAATTATAACAACTATTAAGACATTTGCAATTTTCCTTTTTCCAAGCAAAAACTGAAATTAAATCAGAAATATGAAACCTTTTCAGTACATGTAAATTTAGATTTTTTCACAGACAGTGCCTTCTGTGTCCTTCTTTTATGATGTGCAACGGAATTTAATGCATAAATATACAGATCGCATCAAGTTATCTTGAGTTATTTTTAAAGAAATGGACGTTATAAACCATAAGCAGTCATCCAGAAAAGGAAATAACCAAAAAGGATACAGACTTCTTTACCTTTACCCTGATTCAATTAAAACTGCCCAGGTCTCAAAACTGAGAAGAAAGGAATCTTGAAGTATAAAATTTTATTATTCCTTCATAGTTATCAATAACTAAGATCAGCTTTTTATTTCTAAAACTTAAATATAGTTACAATCATTATTTCTAGCTATTCAAAAACTTCTAGTCTCTTTATTGCTTTAAAAAAATTTTTTTAAATTTTATTTTCTTATTTTTGAAAGGAGAGAGAGAGAGAGCATGAGTCAGGGAGGGGCGGAGAGACAGAGAGACACAGAATCTGAAGCAGGCTCCAGGTTTTGAGCTGTTAGCACAGAGCCCCATGAGAGGCTCAAACCCACAAACTGGGAGATCATGACCTGAGCCAAAGTCAGACGCTCAACTGACTGAGCCACCCAGGCATCCCGACAATGTTTTTTAATTATAAAAACCTATTCTCTGCTTCATACTACAGAAGTAGAGTAGTTAAGCTGAAGAAGTTAAAGATTCGTTATGGAAAATTATGCAGTGTGTCAGTAACGACTATATGACATCTCCTGCTCAATTTAATTCCAGCATATAACACTCATAACCATTCTCTACTCCAACTTTGTCATAGGTCCTTTCTCTCCCATGCAATGCTTAAGTATTTGTATGCCACCTACGTGGCATGTCTATTTAGTGTTTGGAGTTTTTTCAGGCTAGGATTAGCTGAACAAAATGTTTCAGATCAATTCCATCAGAACCACATGGAACAGTTAAAACAAGGGTATACAGGCCTCCCCATTCCAAAGATACTGAATCAGAATCATTGGTCCCAGGAAATCTGCATTTTAACAAGTTTTCCACATGTAAAAGAAAAGCTCACACATAACACTTAAACTCCCTAGAGTTAAACAATTCATTAATTCTTTCGGAGGACTACAAAAATGACTGCAAGGATGTTTACACTAATAACTTTAAAATGAAAGCTATTTAAATAAAACATTTTTACTTTTCATTCAATTTCATCAATTTTCTAATTATAAGTACAATAACACAAATACCCAATTTCTTTTTCCTTTTGCCCTTTCAAGTAATTTCTGGTGCAATTTTCTTCCAACACCATCCTGAAAGTTTTGGACAATTTCTTCAGTTTTTTTATATTCTTCTTTATTTGCAAACGGCTTTACTGTAAAGAAAAAATACCCATTAAAATATTTAGACGTCAAGTACCACAAACTCACCTCATTATTACATAAATCTTGAGACTTAATTATGTAAAACAATTATATACACATTAATTATCACAGCAGTCCAAAAAATTATTATAATAGAGTTTACATCAAAATAGCTGAAAGGCAACAATGTAAAATGTGGTAAAAAATTAAACAGTGGATACTGTGTAATCTAATAACCATTTTCTGAAAAATTATTTTAAAATCATTTTGGATGATGAGAGTTAAAATGATAAAGACAGAACTATCATCTAGCTATTAGTCCAACAGAAAAGTCAAAGTTGTTTAGCTATGAATAAGAGAAATTAAAATTTTCCATTAATGTCCAAGCAGAGCCTTGAACATCATGTATGTAAATGTAATATGTATGTAAATTTAAGTGTAAAGCCTGCCTCCAGCCCAGAGCCAGAGCCAATAACAATTTCCTTTAAAAACAATCAAACAAAAAGACCACACACACAAAACAAAAACAAATGAAATACAAGATTCCTAGTCCATGAAAATGAAAACCAATTGTTCTGAAAATTAAGCTGAAGACAAAAGCAAATTAGCAAAGGACATTAATATTCTCCTTTTGTTTGATTCTGTCTCTTCCAAGTACTACTTTAAAGTCGATTTAAACAGCTCTATTTAGAAAAAGTCCAAGTGATATGAATAATCAAAAACAGTGAATAATCAGTAATTTTTTAAAAAAAGAAACTTGAATTCCCAATTTCCCATAAAAGTACTTGAGGAAAAAGAGAAAAGAAGAAATTTAAAAAATATCAAGGGCTTTCAGTTAAACAAAGTGAACTAAATGCATACATTTATCTCCAATCCGCCTACAATTTAGTAAAGTGACAGTAATTACAAAGGCAAAACCTGTAAGGACCAAGAATATGGAAGGAGAGGACAGCGGACCAGTTAAGCTAACATTTTACAAATCAGAAAACACATGAGAAAATAGGGGCTTTGTAGGCTGCAGAAAGCCCATCTAAAGCATAGGCAGTGGACGGTAGGAAGAGACAAGGTAAAGTTAGGTGCAAACCAAGAAGCAAACCAATTCCTACAGTAGAATCCCAGAAAGCTTCAAGAATTGTAGGCAAATGTACTTTCTTTTTTTTTTTTTTAATTTTTTTTTTTAATGTTTTTTTATTTATTTCTAGGAGAGAGAGAGACAGCGTGAGCAGGGGAGGGTCAGAGAGAGAGGGAGTCACAGACTGAAACAGGCTCCAGGCTCTGAGCTGGCAGTCAGCACAGAGCCCGACGCGGGGCCCGAACCCACGAACCGTGAGATCATGACCTAAGCGAAAGTCGGACGCTTAACCGACTAAGCCACCCAGGCGCCCCTAGGCAAATGTACTTTCAAAGGGGACAAAGAGAGGCCGAAAACAGGTCTTCTTAAAAGTGTTCAGAAGCAGCAGACAATCACCCCATCCACACCCACTCCTGTAGATCCTTCTCCACTCTAGAAAGCCAAACGACTTCCTACCAATGCCAGTAGAAATCTAGAGGTCTATTCTTAGGAAAAATTGACCTCAACAAGCAGAATACATAGCTTCTAACACATACTGGAAAAGAGAGAGATTATAATTAAGTGTATACCCCGAACAATGACCCCTCCAGCTTCCTTCCCCTACTTAGCTCCCAAAACACTAGAAACCAGGCTCATACCTTCTAAACAAAAGAGAACTCTTTGGGGAAACAGATCGGTCCAAGAGAAATTATTATGTAGATCTGGGCATGCCCCAATGGAACTGCTAGATCTCTGCAACAAGGGTCACTGGAAGTCCACCAGTCACCAAATCCCTATCCACACACATAAAGCTCTCAATTGGCTTTTTAGGGTGTAGCTCTTAAATACGAAGACTACAGATTATTAGATATTTGAGGAAAGCATCTCACATGAGAGTCAAAAACCAGGATTGGTGATCCCAAACAGTAAACAGACCCTTTTCCAGAAAGGGAAAGGCACTAATAATGAAGGAAATACTTTTTTAATTAAAAGCTTAGTCCAGAATGCCCCAGATCCAATTAACAGGAGTTCTAGAGAGGGCAAAGGAAGGAGAAGACTATCCAAGAAAAACTATTTTTAAAATGTCCTAGAAGTGAGTAACATGAATTTTTTAAATTTAAAAGAACCTACTGTGTATTCAGAGAAATAAATGAAAACAATCTATACACTAAGGGACATGGAGAAAATCAGAATGGTAGGGATAAAAGGTTTCCAAACACGTCCACAAAGTAAAAAACAAACCACATATAAAGGATCAAACAGAATGGCATGAGACATCTCAAGAGGAATAGAGAGTTATCTTCAAAACTCCTAAAGAAAAATCATTTCCAACACAGAATATTCTATACTCAGCCAAACAATCAGGTATGAAGGTAGAATAAATTTTTAGGTCTCACATTCTTTTCTTCCCAAAAGTTCTTTTCTCAAGTAGGTCCTGAAGATGCACTTCACAAAAATAAGGGAAAAGAGGAAGAATAAGAAAGACAGGAACCAGACAATCCAACGCAGGAGGGAGAGGTGAAGCGAACTGCCAGGATGATGGGGGAAAGAAAGGCCCCCAAGAACAGCTGTCAGCCAACTCCAGAAAAGTAAACGCTTTGGAGCAAGAATGCAGTGGACCCTAGGGGGGATATCCAAGAAATGAAACAGAGAGAATAGCTTATGTATTTAATATAGGTATAGGTACATACACATATATGTATTATATACCAATCTACATAATGTAGTTAGGGGGTTTTCAGTGAACTGAGGTGCTTGGGAGTGAATCAGTTAAGGATACAAAGCAAAGTAAGTAAATGAAAAATGAGCCAGCAAAACAAAAAATCAGCAAAAAGGTCACCAAAGTACACTGTGAGTTAACTGCATAACCATAAACCCTAAATGGTCACGTCAAATAACTCAAGTACAAAGCACATACTGATTTAAATAAGATAAAACCTGGAGTTCAATCAAGTGAATACTCATTTAGTCATTTAATCCCAAATGGTTGATTCTGTACAACTATGTTGAGATAATGAAAAGGAAAATGTGGATATGTTGGATTACATATCTGCTGGGCGTGAAGGATGGAAAGGTTAATGGTGTGAAAGAGCTAAAGCCACAACTTTTTAGAAACATTTATAATATCAAAAAGTAAAAATAAATAAATAGTAGCAAAAAATGTTACTTTAAATCTGGAGATAAAAAAGTATCTGGAAATAAACAATATCAAAAAACTGAGAAAATATTGGAAAATGCTTGCCTGAGGGAGTGGGATTTAGGGGTAGGAGTAGAGAATGAAGCAGTACTATCTGGCTTTTCAAACTATGGAAAAATTAACTTGAGACAAAAAAGTTCTGCATATTTTAAGGATACTTTAATTATCATGAGCCTCCAGGAAAAAGCAATTACACCCTCATCAATTTCTAGTAATTTCATAGTTTCCTACATTACTAATATTAATATATACAAAAAGATTATACATATACCTGATTCAAGGTATTTTTTTAATGATTCTTCAAGTGAAGGAACAGGCAGAGATGGAAGAGAATCCTGGTACTGAAATGTTCGTTCTTCTGTTGACTTAGCCAACTGATTTTCCATGATGCAATCACAACAGGAAAACTAAAGAAAAAAAGCCCTCACAATTTCAATCTCATAAATATTCTTATCTATTCTAATTCCAATTCAATAAGTCATTATCTAAGGACCACAGTACATCGAGAACTTTGTTCTAGTCCTTAAAGAATTCACAAATTTGTGAAAGTGAGAAAATCAATTAAATAATTTTTTAAAAAAGCTTAGAATCCAAGGGCCAAAGCTCAGAGTCAGCACCTACTATTTGCTAAGTACTACTGCTGGTGTCATAGAGAGCTTGTTATCTGATCTTCCTATTATCTCTGCCTTTTGGCATTCACTCATGGGAAGGTCAAAATCTGATCCAATCTTCCCCTTATATAAAGCTACTTGAGAGCAGGTAAGAGACCTCACAGGACCTCCAAAGGAGTAGGCAGGTTTCAGAAAAGTATGCTGGGCAGAAGGTGAGAACCCTCAACAGCCAGGCATGAAAAGCAGAAGACTCATCCAGCTGTGGACTTGCAGAATATTACAGAATTCATCAATCCTATGACAAGTTAATGTAACCTAATTATGCAGATGGTTTGAGGCCTACCCACAATGACTTCAAGTATCCCATAGCAATCTTGAACAAATTTATTAATTTTCATCAGAGATATCAAACGAACCCAAAATGTGAATAAGGTTTTACAAATGTTAAAAGGAAAATTAAATTTCTCAAAGAAGCCTTTAAAAATTAAGTAATGTAGTATAATAGCAATTGAGAAATCAAGGAACCTTAAGAAGAATTATCTGTGCTTTCAAATACTACTTTTTAAATTAAAACTGATAGCAAAGCCAAACAAAATATTCTACTCATAGGTTAAAGAATAAAGCATTATCAAAAGCAAGGGTGTGGCAGAGACGGTTTTCAACCAATTAACTTTTTCCTTTTTCTTAACAGAACCCTGACTCAGCTGGGCATAAAGCCACACAGCTTTATCTCCTACCCTGCCCTCGAGCTCAGTATGACTTTGTTATGTTTCACCACCAGGTCATGCCCCTATCAAAGACTAACTACACAGGCTCTCTCTGTGCTTTCTCTCCTCATTGCCTAACAGGTAGTACCGACAGAAGTAGCACTGTGCAACTCCTTACAGACACCAGGGACTGAGGTTGTCAGAATCTTCCTATCAGCCCTAGCCTCCTGCCTCTACATGTATGGGAAAACACTTTCATTCACATCACCGAGCTTTCTTTGTTAAGGTAAGAGAACTCAACCTACAGCACTAATAAAAAGATACAATCCAAAAATAAGGTACAACAAAGACCTCCTAACTCCTCAGCTTCTTGCTGTCTAATGACTTTGCACTTTATTTTGACCATCCATCAACAATGGCTTTAGACTTCATGGAAATGTCGGCATGGGCCCATATACCAACACTACCACTTTCTAGTCATGAGCCTCTGGGCAACTAACTTGAAATGAATTTCCTTATGTGTACAGAGGATAATCATACAATTAGAAAGAGCTGTTGTTAGGAACGGTTTATTTATTTTATTTTTTATTTTTTTAAATAGTTTATAGTCAAGTTGGTTTCCATATAACACACAGGGCTCATCCCAACAATTGCCCTCCTCCATGCCCATCACTCCCCTTCCCCTCTCTCCCAACTCCCATCAGCCCTCAGTTTGTTCTCAGCATTCAAGAGTCTCTCATGGTTTGCCTCCCTCCCTATTTATTTTTTTTATTATTCTTAAATAGGCTCCACACCCAATGTGGGGCTTGAACTCACCACTCTAAGATCAAGAGTCAGATGCTCTCCTGAGCCAGCCAGGTGCCCCCAGGATTGTTTTTAAATGCCTCCAAAAGCACACCACAGGGGCACGTAGGTGGCTCAGTTGGTTAAGCGTCCGATTCTTGATTCTGGCTTACGTCATGGTCTCACAATTCGTGGGTTCAAGCCCCGCCAGGCTCTGAACAAACACCAAGGGGCCTGCTTGGGATTTTCTCTCTCTTTTCTCTTCCCCTCCTCTGCTGGCGGGTGGTCTCTAAATAAATAAACTTTAAAAAAACACACACACTATAAAAATAAAGCAATCTGGTTGAGACCAACATATGATGCTAGGAAGAACTTGTAGGAATGGCTCCCACGATTTCACCCCTATACTCCTCAGAACCTGTGAATATGAGATTATCACCTCCATGACTGTGATCACGGTGTCCTACAAAGCACAGGGGACCTTAGATTATGCAGGTGGGTCTAATCATTTGCGGCCCCAGGAGCAGAAAGCTTCTCCAGCAACTGGCTGTAGGTGAGTCAGGGAGATTAAAAACATGAAAAGGATTAAAGGTGCTGTCTGGCAATGAAGATACAGGTGGTCTTACCGAACTGAGAAAGCCCCCAGCTGGAGCCTAGTAAGGAAATGGGATCATCGGTCCTACACCTGCAAGAACATGAATTCTGCACCTTCACTTAGCATAGAGGCGGATTTTTCCCCAGAGTCTCCAGAAAAGAGCCCAGAACTATAGAAACCTTTATTTCAGCTTTGTGAGGTGCTAAGAAGAGTACCCAGCTAAACCTACCTGGGCTTTAGACGCGTAGAAGCTGTGAGATAAACAATTTGTGATTTTCTTTTGCGTGTGTGTGTGTGTGTGTGTGTGTAGCTGCTTTTGTGGTAAAGTGCTATGGCAGCAATAAGAATCTAATACACATATACAGAAAAGACAAGCCATTCTCTCTGTATACCTCCCTTAGTACTTAATGGACTCTAGAAAACTGATGTTTCCCAGTCTTAACTCGCCAAAAGGTACACACTGAAACTAGGAATTAACAGATCCTTTTAGCAAAGACTGTTTTGGAATGCTCAACCACACAGATTAAGTAACTCTAAAATAACCTATATACGCATTAAATCATGACACTGCATTTAATTACAGGAGGCTTCCTGGGGGCAACGAAATATAAACCCCAAGTGGAAAAGAGAATCGGCAACACCAAGTAAAAAAAAAAAGAAAGAAAGAAAGAAAGAAAGAAAGAAATACATGGTCACATACCCGTACACCAAGATGAACTGTTTAGGACTTCCAGGAGCCTGCTGCAACCACCCTGTTAGAAAACACAGGGGGTTTGAACTAGGCGGGTGACTGTGGGAAGCAAGAAACAAGCGTGACCACCTCAGGGGGTAGGGAGCGGGAAATTAACAACAAACTGGTGAAAAAAAGTGGAAGACAAGAAAGCTAGAGACTGTGAAGCCCCAAGATTTAAAACTATTGGGGATCACGGCACGCATGCAAAAAAGTCTATCTGCCAGACAGCTGACGAGCAATTGCTACAGGATTCACCAGGTTTCGGATAACCACACTCTCACTAGACAAAGTGCCTCCCGGTGCCCGCGCCCAGTCGCAGGTCGACGAGTTTAAAGGTCGGCTGCAGATTCAGGTGCAGAGCGACGAGAGCGCAGACTTCTCCCACCACAGCAAGAGCAACTCTGCACACTCAGAAGGCCACCAAGTGAGAGAAATCCAAATAAGCAGCACTACGGACCGGCGCAGCGGCCCAACCCCAGGGGTACGTCTCCGACCCCGACAGGCGAGACGCCTGACGACACCACACACCCGCCGAGTCCCACCACTTCTGCCGTTCAACCCTATGGAACTCTGTTCTACGCAGTTTAACTGTTCCCAACCATCCCGACGGGGTGGGGAGGGAGGGAGCGCTGCCCCGTCGGGCCTGCGGGTCCTCAACGCCGCCGCTTCACCTCCTCCGTCGCAGCTCACAACCACACTGACCCCCTCCGCCGCCTCCCCCAAGGAGGGGGAATTGGACGGAAAGCCGCGAGGGTCCCGCCCCGTAATCACCGGCTAACGAAGATTGGACGGAAAGCCGCGAGGGTCCCGCCCCGTAATCACCGGCTAACGAAGATTGGACGGAAAGCCGCGAAGGTCCCGCGCGGTCCTCGAAGCCTGGGACCCGCCGGGCCTGCGCTGTGGTAGGACCCAGCCCAGCCTCCTGCGGGTGTCCTCTGTCTGGGGCTGGGTTCTAGGCTGCGTGCCTAGGAGAAGCTCCCCCGACGCCGGAGGAACTGCCCCAGCCCTGCCGGACAGCAGTTGACTGCTTGCGTGCAGCAGATGGAGCCCAGCGCCCAGGCCGGGGACACAGCGGCGGACTCCGGACAGGCAGCGCTCCGCCTACGCAGGTACACAACATTCTGGGACGGATGCAGGAACTGACGGCTCAGCCTCAGCTTGATCCAATTCGGGCAGGACTCGTGCCCTGTTTCCCTTCCTCTTCTGACCCTCACTCTGCCTTGCCAGCCGCTCCTTACCCCTCCCAGTGCGACTCACTGAAGCAAGAATTTATACCAATGCTTTTTAAAGGAATCTTGTTGTTTATCCTGTGTCCTAGCAAGAGAGCAGTGACCACACAGATCTCTACTTAATCTTTCTCTTTATCTACTGAGGCTGAAGTTGGCCCAGTGTAGATAATACTGCAAGCACTCTGCAGCATCCCTGGCGTCCCTACCCGTCTACAATTCTTCGTGATGCCCCAGTTCCGTGAAGCCCCGACGGATGCTTCCGCAGCAAGCTTGGGGTTGATCTGATGTTTTTTACCGTTGCGCCAAAAAATGGAGTTTTCAACCCAAACGGAGCTAACAAGTTTAAGAAGATCATAATGTGATTAGCTTAGTTTCGCAGGCCAAGCTATTTTACATTTACCTCCTAAAACAAAATACACTGAGTTTTCATTTTAAGTACATTGTTTCATTTTTGTGGAAGAAAGGACCAACAGTTAACACTGGCTGTGAACTAGGTATCAAATATATAGAACCGGATTTCAAACATATCATTACAGGTCCCAATCCTTTATCTGTCTTTCCTAACTCCCTTGGTAGTTAAATCTGAGGTGAACGGAACTGAAGCCATGTAACACTAAATATGCACTTGACTTGATTATTCCTAAGTTTTCTACAGAACTGTTAATGTGCTTGATTGTAGTGCAGCTCCAGCCCTTGCTGAATGTGTTGCGTAATATATGACAGACAAGCTTGTTGAATAAAAGTTCTGAATTCTGAACTATATCAGGTCAAAAAGGTTTCAAATAAGGAATTGTACATTTCGTAGTAGTTGCTTCTGAAGATGTGATAAAGAACATTTCTCATAGTATGTAAGTGTGTTCTGGGTAATGTTAGTTACAATTGGCTTACAAGATAGCATTCTTAAAGAGAATGAATAAATAATAAAAAGCTGCTCAAAAGCCTTCATCGTACTTTTTTTCTTCTTCCTGGTGAGTGTTGGCACCTCTTGAAAGTTTCATGCTCATTTCTGTTGGTGGCATAGAATTTAGGGTCTCTTGCCTTCACTGTCTTTCTCCAATTCTTCACAGTGATTTAAAGGGAAACAAAGTATTTCTGTAAAGATTCCTGGACTCTTGAAAGAGGAAAAAATATGGACTGAATGAAAATGACAGGAACAGAGACTTGAATGTGTAGGGGGAAAATGTAATTTTTTAAAACATACTGAGGGGCACCTGGGTGTCTCAGTCGGTTAAGCGACCCACTAAGGTCATGATCTTATGGTTCCTGAGAGGGGAGTCCTGCATGGAGGCTCTGCTCTGTCGGCATGGAGCCTGCTTAGGATTTTTTTCTCCCTGTCTCTCTGCCACGCACATGCACTCTCTTATTTTCTCTCTAAAAAACAAATAAATAAATATTGGGGTGCTTGGGTGGCTCGGTAGGTTAAGTGTCCAATTTCGGCTCAGTCATGATCTTGCAGTTTATGGGTTTGAGCCCCGCATTGGGCTCTGCTGACAGCTCAGAGCCTGGAGCCTTCTTTGGATCCTGTGTCTCTCCTCTCTCTGCCCCTTCCCACTTGCACTCTGTCTCTCTCTCAAAAGTAAACATTAAGAAAAAGCTGTAAAAATTAAAAAATATTTTTAAAAGAATTTAAAATATGTTGTACTGCTAAGCATATGTACTAATAATCCTTTAAAGCAGATAAGTGATTTTTCTTCACAGTGCATAATATATATTTTAATGGCAGACTCCAAATGATATTCTGTTCAAGTTAAATTTTAACTTCTTCACATTTCTTAGGGTGATGTGGGAGGTACTAGCTAGTGAGGAAGATGTTTCAGGCACATGAAAGACATTGATAACTAGTTTTTCCAAGATTAAGAACTGATTGTGAATCAAAATATTTTTCTGGAGAAAAATTTGTAGGTACTACAAGTGGTGATAATAAGTTTTTTTTTTTAAGTTGTCTTAAAAGAGTTTTCATTTTTAATCCTACATAGCTCTTTCTCACTATGCTACACATAGAAAAAGTACTTAGAGATGAGTCCAGAAAGTTCCATAATAAGTATAAAATTACTAGAAGCTTGCATATCCATCTAGCTTACTGCTTACATATCTAGCTTACATATGTAGCTTACATATCTAGCTTACTGCTAAGACTTGTAACTCTAATGTGATGGGGAAACTGAAGGGAATCCATTTTATTTTTAAAAAATTGTTTTAATGTTTATTTTTGAGAGCAAGGGAAAGAGAGCATGTGCAAGCAGGGGAGGGGCAGAGAGAGAGAGGGAGACACGGAATCTGAAGCAGGCTCCAGGCCCTGAGCCAACAGCACAGAGCCCAGTGCAGGGCTCGAACTCATGAACCATAAGATCATGACCTGAACCAAAGTCAGAGGCTCAACTGACTGGGCCACCTATGATCCCAAAAGGGAATCCATTTTAGAAAAGCTCCATCTCTGCTGCTTGTCTGCTAGGCCCATTTGCTCATGTTCTATATTTCATGTTGCATCTGAGTAAACCAAAGAAGCTACTATGTTCCCACTCCAAGGGGGATGCAAGAAAGTTAATCATTCTCTGAGTTGGGTCCTAGGCCCCCATATGCCCGATAGCGTCTTAAGAACCAACCTCGGCACACACTGGTGCCAATAGCCCCTATCTTCGGTGACTTATGGAATAACACTTACTTTGATTGGATCCTACCCTGGATCCCTTTATGATACGAAACCCTAATCCCAAGCAGTAGAGAAACTCACTTTTCGTTTTCTGAGCCTCCCAGACACTCATCTAAGATATGCTATTTGCTATATGCTATCACTGACGTTATTCATTTAACTCTGCTCTCACTTCTTCCTGGCTCATGTTTGATTTATATCCTGGGGAGAGGGCAAGATGGCGGAGAAGTAAGGAGCTCCGTACTTGCACTCGCGCCCATACATCACACAGAAAAGATCTGAAGACATTGGAAACCTTACAAAACCTGAGAGATTGGGAGGAAAAAGACGCAGAATCCACTGAGAGAGCCTTCTAACGTGAGTGCGAACCGGGGAAGATAAAATCGGGCCGGGATCGGAGACTCCAGGGTGGGAGGCGATCCCCCTCTACCCTCTACGGGGAGTGAGAGGGGAAAAGGAGAGAGTCTGATTTATATCCTGTATGAAGCCAAGGACCCTCCGGTCCTATAGGACCCCCTTTGGGTCCTCAGACATGGCCTGCCTACTATGTCATTACCTGTCACTAAGAAGTAATGAAGTAACATAAATAACTCTAGTCTATAGGATAGATCTTTACTTTCATCCCAGTGTGTAAAGTGAACATATGGAAGAAATGATTTTCTTGTCTTTAATGGGGAGACAGTAAAAAGGTGGTCATTTTGGGAAGCAGCCAATAACAAAGTAAAGTATGCTGGATGCAAAGAGGCCAAGAAGGTCTAGAAACCTACTTCTGCATCTAGCACACACGTGTTCTCAATCGTGCAAGGATTCATCACGCAAACCCCAGGTAGTCTTCAGCGTTCTCTGGGAAGTAAAGTGATACTGTCCAAGGTCCATGGTCCTACTTACTTTCTAGTTCTGAGAAACTCCCAATGAGCGTTACCAGGTGTCCCAAAGCAGGGCCCATCGTGACCATGTCTCTTGCTGGGCAGAAGTCCCCTGGGGAACCGGAGGCATCCTGGCATGAGTAGGATTTACAATCCACCGCGGAAAACTTGTAGGGGTCCTTGGAACACAAAACAGGCTTCACCATGTCTTTCGGCTGCTGTCTACTCTGTCTTACACACAAACTGCTGTGGGAAACCTTCCTTTCCGTTCCTGTTCTCTCACCTGTTTACCAGCAACCCAGGCTGACCGCACACCTGTTTCCTCTCAAATCCTTTCCACTGTCTCCGCTTTGTGTAATCATTGTGAACCCTTCTCAGCTGCAATTCCACCCTGACTCCTGCATCACTAAAGCTGCTTAGCTGGGACACTTAATGTGATTAAGCAATTTGATACACTTGTGGACACCAACTGCTGACTATTGTAGTTTTCTTGTTCGCATTCCAAGTATCGTGGACTTTGCTTTGGTGTGCACGGGGTTCACTTCTTTTTTCATGTGTTTCATACACATTCATATATGATAAGCTACACAAACAAGTATTTTTTTATTTTTAATGTTTTATTTATTTTTGAGAGAGAGACAGAGCATGAACGGGGGAGGGGCAGAGAGAGACGAGACCGAGAATCGGAAGCAGGCTCCAGGCTCTGAGCTGTCAGCACAGCCCGACGCTGGCTGAGCTCAAAGTCACAAACCATGAGATCATGACCTGAACTGAAGTCAGACGCTTAACTGACTTGAGTCACCAACGCATCCTACAAGCAACTATTTACTGAGCACTGCTCCTTACCTAACATTCTACTCAATACAAACAGAACTCAGGGCGCCTGTGTTAAGCGTCCAACTTCGGCTCAGGTCGTGATCTCACCGCTCGTGGGTTCAAGCC